GGTCTCAAACCTCTTTCATCTTCATAATATGTCAGAAAATGATGCAAATATTCAGTTAAACAAAAATAAAAAAAATTTCTAATTTTTCTCGAAATATGTATGTTAACCCCTTTGAAAAAATTGAATTTTTGGATAAATGAAATCTAGACTCTTTAGTGGTTTTTAAAAATACCAAACCATACTCTAAATGTATATTAACATAGGCTAAACATATTTTCATGGTACATGGCCATCATTTCTAACTTTCCAACGAGTAATTTATTTAAACTTCATATACGATCTAATTAGTGTACTAACCAATATAAAATCTCTATTTTCTAGAGAAATGGGAACATATAAGGTCTCAAACTTATTTCATCTTCATACTATTTCAGAGAATGATGCAAATATTCAGTAAAAAAAATAAAAAATTTTCTAATTTTTCTTGAAATATGTAGGTTAACCCCTTAAAAAAATTGAACTTTTGCGTAGATGCAATATATAATTTTTAGACACTTTGGTCTTGTTTAAAAATACCAAACCACACTCTGAATGTATATTAACATAGGATAAACATATTTTCATGGTACATGTTCATCATTTATAAATTTTTAATGAGTAATTTATTTAAACTTCATATACGATCTAATTAGGGTACCAACTAGTATAAAATCTCTATTTTCAAGAGAAATGAGAACATATAAGGTCTTAAACCTCTTTATCGTCATAATTTTTCAGAGCGTGATTGAAATATACATGAAAACAAATATAAAAAAAAATTTCTAATTTTTCTTGAAATATGTAGGTCAACCCCTTTGAAAAAATTGATCTTTTGGGTAGATGCAATATATAATTTTTAGACACTTTAGTCTTGTTTAAAAATACCAAACCACACTCTAAATGTATATTAACATAGGCTAAACATATTTTCATGGTACTTGGTCATCATTTCTAACTTTCCAACGAGTAATTTATTTAAACTTCATATACGATCTAATTAGTGTACTAACCAATATAAAATCTCTATTTTCTAGAGAAATAGGAACATATAAGGTCTCAAACCTCTTTCATCTTCATACTATGTCAGAGAATGATGCAAATATTCATTTAAACAAATATAAAAAAATTTCTAATTTTTCTTGAATATGTAGGTTAACCCCTTTGAAAAAATTGAATTTTTGGATAAATGAAATCAATAATTTTTAGACACTTTAGTGTTGTTTAAAAATACCAAACCACACTCTAAATGTATATTACCATAGACTAAACATATTTTCATGGTACATGGTCATCATTTCTAACTTTCCAACGAGTAATTTATTTAAACTCCATATACGATCTAATTAGTGTACTAACCACTATAAAATCTCTATTTTCTAGAGAAATGTGAATATATAAGGTCTCAAACCTCTTTAATCTTCATACTATATCACAAAAGGATGCAAATATTCATTAAAACAAAAACAAAAACAAAATTAATTTTTCTTGAAATATGTAGGTTAACCTCTTTGAAAAAATTGAATTTTTGTATAAATGCAATCTATAACTATTAGACACGTTAGTGTTGTTTAAAAATACCACACCACACTCTAAATGTATATTAATATAGACTAAACATATTTTCATGGTACATGGTCATCATTTTTAATTTTCCAACGAGTAATTTATTTAAACTTCATATACGATCTAATTAGTGTAATAACCACTATAAAATCTCTATTTTCTAGAGAAATATGAACATATAAGGTCTAAAACTTCTTTAATCTTCGTAATATGTCAGAGAATGATGCAAATATTCATTAAAACAAAAATAAAAAAAATTCTAATTTTTCTTGAAATATGTAGGTTAATCCCTTTAAAAAAATTGAGAGGGATAGATGTGTTTTGCAGAAATCAACATCCTCTATGATTAATTGACTGCAGGCAAAAGATACAGATGAGACTGGAGAATTAGTACTAATCAGCAGTTTCTGTACTAATGATGGTCATCTGTAAACAAATAGAGGAATCCCTGATGATGCTCGACTATACAGTGTGCTGGAGCATTGTGTTCCCAAACCAGAAAACGGGTCAGCTGCATTTATCAGAAAGACCTAACACATAGTACTTGTTACGATCACAAGTAGTTCGAACATAAATTAAAGCTTATCAACTTAGAGATTTAACCTTAGAAAACGTAGGAAAGAATGTATTTACAGTCACGAAATGGAAATCTTTGGTATGTCTTATGTTAACATGAACATTCCCTTCAGGTTCCTCGTGAAGCAAAACATCCTCATCCGTTGACCCGATCGTGCTACAATAAATCCTGACAACAGATTCTTCTATGTGGTCAAACGAGTTTTCAGGAATCTGGGGATTTTACAAGGGTTTAACCGGCAAGCATCGAGCCTGCGAGAGCACACAGGTAGAAGAAGTAAAAGTTACAAGCAAGCAATTTTAGTTCAAGGTAAATAATAATCGGGTAAGTGGCGCAGTTGGCTAGCGCCCCAGTCTCATAGCTATCTGAGTAATCTGGAGGTCAAGAGTCCGAGCCTCTCTCACCCCAATCTTTTATTTATTTTAATTGTTGACTCTACACTTAGAATTATTAACTGGACTGAACTGCAATTTATGGTTAGTTCGATTCAGAATAGAATTAGTTTGATTTGAACTGTTAGTAGAATTTGAATATAGTTTTTTTTATAAAATGAAGTAACTGATTAAATCAAAATTAAAATTTTATGGGTATAAAAGTTTCTAATTGAAAAACCTGCTATTCAGAAGGTTTAGTCCTTACCAGTTAGAGTTTTTAGAGAAAAAAATTTCTCAATTCTTTAAAAAAAAACTTATTCGATTTTTATTTCACTCTACTATTTTATAAACAAGGTTCATACACCTATTTATACTATATATGAGATAAGGATATGACTATTATACAGAATAAAGATAGACGCATGGTTTATTATTGACCACTCTTACAAAGATATCGTGTGAAATCTTATTCTTCCACTTTATTTATGTAAGTAGCTATATTAGGTTTACATTTTTTCACGTGATTATTGTCGGATGTTTATATTTCGTTGATTGATTCTTCAATTACTGGTTCCTCAGTCATGTCTTTCTCTTTAATCACTTCATCCTCTAGTCCTTTGTTTTTAGTCTTGCGGATTACGTATGTGTGTGGTTCTCTAAATTTAATTTCGAACTGTATTTTTTTAGTAGCTAGTTGAGCATTTGATGAAAGTATTGTCCCATATTCTAAAATCAAATGGACAATTGTTTCTTCTGTAATCGATGTTTCTTCAGTTCCATAGCCAGTACATTGAGCCCCTCTTACCCCAATTTTGTTTTATTATTTAATTTAATTGTTAACTCTACACTAAGAATTATTAACTGAACCGACTTGATTTAGTTCGGTTTAAAATTTTGGTTGAATATAATTGTTTTTATATTTTTTATAGTTGAGAGAATCAATCAAACTTACTCAAAATTTGGATAAAACTTTATTTAAATCAATCAAAATGAAAATAAAATGTATTTTTTGGAAATTAACCGAACATCATGACCAAATTTTATTTTGGATTGACTCGGTACGATTTACATTGAACCGATCATACCGAACCATCAGACCTAATTGACTCAGTGACGACATAGAGCAAAGCCTGACCGTTCTTTTCCCAGGCTAAGTTGGAGACACGGTCTGCGTGAGGCTTACTACACAAAGCACCAGAGTTCAAGTTTCTCACACACAATCTAAAGTAGTCGTTGTCCTTATCACACATATAAGGACACATTAGAAAAACTGTTGGTTTCTCATAAGCAAGGTCCCCAACGAAGAGGAGGTGTAGAGAGATCAAAAGACAAGCGAGAAGCCATCTCAAACTGGAGCTTGCTCTTCTGTATCCGATCCGTATCGGCCAATACAGCTTCCGTGTACTTCTCTTCTTGCTCCATGTGTCGTAGCTTCGTGGAAGGTGAAACTCTGTGGCTTCTTCGGAGGTTTTTGTAACGTATGGGGTGGTGCGGTGGTGTAGGACTCTTCGGAGGCTTGTAACGGCGGTATTGTTGCCGGAAAAGATGATTGTGATGACGAAAGGTTCGGGAGAGCATCGTTGATGGAGGTTTTGTGTATCAGAGATTGTCATCAATACCATTAAAACAAAACATTTTATTTTAATGAATTTTTTATATTTTCCAATTATATCTTTAATAATATAAACAAATTTTTATTTTTATTAATGGTAATATGATCTTTTGTTTTTTAACCTAAAAATAAAATACTAATGGTTTCATTAATGGGATGATTCTCTTTCAAATTTTATAAAATATTTCTTGCAAAAATATATTTTCTTTGCGGGTCAGACGGATCAAATTTTTTAATCAAAAAAATGACTCAAATTTTTTAATCGAAAAAATCTTGTAACTAAATGATTTTACGAATTAATCACAAAACTAAAAAAAGAATTGGACCATTTAATTCTTAAATATACAAATTTTCTTAAGTACACATTTCAGGTACAATTATTGGTAACTTATTTAGAAACATAAAAAAATTGTCTCAGACATTATAAAATAAAATAAATTTCATATCTGCATAATAATTTGATTTTGATTATGTGACATTTTATATCATCAAAGCACAAAAATTAACGATCCATCTGTAGATAAAACAACAAACAGGTCAAAAAACTAGTAAAGGGATTAAAGTTGTAAAAAACAGAAGTTAAGAAGATGTAAACATAAATAACAAACAATAAGGGGAGTAGAACGCAAAACTCGTAAACTAAACAAAAGGTGCGGTTTATTTACTTTTTTTTATTAGGTCACCGAAAATATAAATTTACGTTTTGCCTTTTCGTTTTCTCTCTAGTAAAAAGGTTTTCCTATTGTCAGACTGAAAATCACATCCTCTGATTCTAAACTAACTTCTTGAATCTTAATCCCTCTTGTTCTTATATCTTCTTGAGTCTTTAACTAATCCTCTAGTTTCATTTACTTTATCGCTACCAAAGAGCCGATCAAAGAAGAAGAAAGAAACAATGGTTGAAACTAGTGAGAAGAATTCTTCTCCATCTTCTTCTTCTTCTTATGGACGTAAAGACTTGGAGTTTTTCAAGGTTTATCTTCCAGAATTCAGTTCTAACGAACTTGTATGTTCCTCTGTTATCTCTTTTCTTCTCTCTAAGAGTTAAATATTTCCTTTTTTTATAGAAACTAATTAATATCAAAATTAACGTGCAGGTGATACCTCAAGCATTCATAAACATCTTAGATAAGCCATTACCTAAGGAAGTGGCGTTAGTAGATGAGACCGGATGGTTATGGGATGTGGAGACAAAGACAGAAGAAAGAGTTGGTGTTGTTGTTTTCAGACAAGGTTGGGCAGAATTTGCAAAAGATCATTCTCTTGTGTTTGGTGACTTTTTGGTGTTTAGATACGACGGCGACTCTAGATTTGACGTAAAGATTTTCGCTAAAGACGGATGTAAAAAAGACCTTGATAGATTTAGGGTTCCTGGTGAGAAAGAACCGGTTATTGTTAAACCGGTGGGTATTTCTATCAAACCAGAACCTTGGGAAGGTTGTGGCAAGAGGGTCATGAAGAATCCTAAACGCGTTTCGGTTAGGGAAGAGCCTAGTGTTCTTGGTGAGATTGAACCGGACCACCGAAGAAATACTAGGAAAAGGGTCAACCGGGCTAGAGGTAACTGAATTGAATTGGTTTTTATCCTATTTAATTCAATTTATTCAAGCTTGATTTTGATCATATGTTATATTGTTCGGTGTTATGTAGATCCTTGTGAGATGTCATGGGTTCCTGAGAAGAAACACAAAGGATTTGAAGAACCGGTTTATAAACCGAAGAATCCGCATTTTGTGAGGAATATTACAGCCCGTTCACTTCGATTATTGGTGAGTTGGAAGAACCGGTTCTATATATATAAAATATGTTTTAATGGTAATAACAGAAATAAACCAATATGATTTTCTATGTGTTGCTAGGAAATACCAACAACTTTTCTGAAAACGAATGGGATCGAGATAGAGGAAGGCCAAGACATCGAGCTTTGTGATGAAAATGGAAAGAAGTGGCCATTGAAGATTGAGAAACACGATAGAGGACACATATTCTCACATGATTCATGGGTGTGCTTCTGTGAAAGCCATAAATTGAGGAATCCCAATAAATGTTTGTTTGAGTTTATTGTGTCAAGTAATGGGACATGCAACCAGATTCTAGTTCGTATATTCCGTGAGACGTTGCTTACTACTGCTACCAAAAGTGGTTACCACGTTCTTTCTATGTAAATTTAAACTTTGCTACTTCACTGTGTTATGTTCGGTTCTTCCATGACGGCCTAGCTCGCTAACAGGTAGCGGTTTTGGTTTAAACGGTGGGATTGTGTATCTTAACTTCTAAATCGATAAACATTATTGTAAAAAACATTAAAATAAAATGTGACTTGATCTCATAATGGTCCATGATCAGGGGCGGATCTACAGTACAAGGAACGGGGCACGTGACCCCGACTACTTAATAAAAGTTCTCTAACTTGTACTGACACAAGTTATTTTGGTGGAACAACTGCTTAAAGCTCCCCAGCTATGTTAAGCTCTTACAGGGTTCGAGCCTATTACCTCTCTTTTTGTTTTGCTTTTTACTTTTGCTGTACATTTATTGTCTTGTTTGACACGTCCGATTTTACCATTATCTTTCTTTACAGCTATTATTAGTGAGAATTTTCCTCCCTTTTGTTTTATTATTATGTTATCTATTTCTTGTTAGAATATATTTTATTTCTTTATTTGCCTATTCATCATTTTTCTATTATAGTTTATATTTCATTTTAGATTTTGGAGCATATTTTAAAATCCATTATTTTAATAGTAGTCACTACAATTAGTAATAAAAAAATAAAACTAACTATTTCCTTCATTTTTCTTTAATTTTTTGGAGTCTAATTCCTCAAGATATGAAATAAATAATTTATGTATGATATCTATATAATGTTATATATGTGTAGCATGAAGACTACTTTTTTATATATTCATGTTTATTTTATTGTAACATTATGTTACTGTGATTAGTTCATATGTAAAAAAAAATTTTTTTATAAAATCTATTTGAACTTGAAAAAGTTAAAGGGGATCAATTTTTACAGTTTTGTTTAATTTTTAAAAACTAATAATATATATTAATTTTAAAATATTTTTTTATTAATTAATTTAATATATACTCCCTCTGTAGATCAATATTCTAAGATTTTCACAGATATTAAGAAACACACATTAAATTTGTATATTTTTTTGTTATTAACTTTTTCCCATAATTTTAAGCAATAAAAATCTAATAAATGCAAGTAATTTTTTAAAATTTGCAATAATTTAATAAAATATGTATTGAAAATGCAAAAAAATAGAATTTTTAGAAACAAATTTTTTCTCTAGAATATCGATATTTTAGGAATGGAGGGAGTATATATTAATTATTATGTGCCCCGTCAAATTATTGGTCTAAATCCGCCACTGTCCATGATCGTCTTATAGACTGGCCATATCAGAGTTCTCCCATTGGTATTTTAGTTCTTGATTACAAAATTAACGTTTTTAATAAAAAAGACAATTTGGATGTTTCCTCATATAGTTTGGAATTCGTTTACGACCTCTCGACTATATATTATACATTTTAAAATGTCAATAGGTCTCATTATATTAGTAGTGGTAATAATAGAAAAGATTCAAGGCATGAAGAACGCACTAAACGCGGGGAAATTGAGTCATTCAACTATATAAAGCTATGGCACGTAGGATAGCACATAGTTTGTTTTATAAAGATGAAAAGCCAAATCAGCAACTGGTTTCCAAATAAACCAGTGGAACTACGGCCCAAAGTATATAATGTATTCGTCCTCTTTGTTTTTTTAATTAATTCTCAACGAGAAAAATCTTTTTTAATATACGAGTGAATGTGAAGTGTCACCAATCAATTACTATGTGCTTTGTCTATATAAACACACACGAGTGTTTGTTGTTAGACACTACACAATATCATCAACAACAACAACAACAAAAACTTTCTCAAGCTTTTCTGTTTTTCCTTTTTGCAAAATGGAGTTTGAGACTTCTAAACGTGTCCAAACGGAGGAAGGAGAAGAGAGTTTAAAAGAGGAACAAGTGTGTAAACAGCTACAACTGAAATCGTCTGAAACGCAAACGCAGGCGTTGAACAAAAGAGCGGTACTCAACCGCATCCGCGACCACAAATGCATTCACAAAATAAAGAATCTTCTTCACACCACCGCAGGAAGTAACAAGGGATCCACCGTCGACGTTGATAACCGGTGGATTGATAGTGGCGATGTTTTCTCTTGCCCGTGAACTCTCCTGAAACTGTGACACGTGTATGTCAACGTGTGTCGTGTTTGAGAGTCTCTGCTTGTCTCTTCCTGTTGTTTTAAATGTTGTTGTGATGAATCATCATTGTAGATTTCGATGTTCACGATGAGTTAAATGATCACCGTTGATCTCAGTGATCTGTTATTGGGATCCGGACGTATCATCTCATGAATTGGGCCTTTAATGATATTAGTATATATTATTGGGCTTTATGAAAACCAATCAAGCCCAGAAGTTTTAAAACGTACCAATAAAACCAACCAGGATAATATCGAATCATTCTTATTTTATTTTGACTGAATTCTTGTAACAAAAACGAAATAAATATTTATATCGGATAATCAACATTTTATTTTTCCTGCATTGAAGTAACTAATATACACCTAAATCCGGATTGAAGTAACATTAAATAACATGCTTGTTCATTCGGATTTTTGTTTTTTTTGATAAATAAACCAAGAAAACACTAGAAAACTAAAAAAAAAAAAAGTTTACAGAAAAAACAGGATGAAATTAGCCCCGTTTTACACGCAAACCCACCATCATAAGACTATTAATGATATCATCGTCAAAAGAAACTAGTACATGTCATTGTTCGTTAAACCTCTTTCCCTTCTATGTCACTGACCTAGACATGCATGCTCTTTGCTCACACGAAACAAAAGATGTGTTAGAATTTAAAAATAGACAAACGCCGTTTTTGTTTGTGGTTAGCTTTAAAGCAAGCCTGTCTTAACCTCTTAGTCTCAACCCCAAATTCCCAATTAGGATCCTCCTCAATCATTTTCTTCTCCCTCTCCAAAATCTCCAAATCGTTCCTCAGCTTTCTCTTTATCATTTCATCATCCGTCTTCCCTAAGCGATCCTATCATAAAAGATCATCCCATATAATTAAATGTAACCCCATAAATTTATAATAAAGTCCATTAACTATGCATATACATATTTGTATGTGAACTCACCAGGTGGTTAGTAATGATGCTCTGAATGCTCATAAGCTTACGGTGAGGCCAACGAGTTATACCCAACTCACGAGTTTTTTTCTTCAAGAGGGTTAATCCAATGTTAAGCACTTTGGCTGCTTTAGCTATCGGCATGTAGAAGTATGGCTTGATCTCTTCCCTTGACAAAGTCTTGATCATGAGTACTCCATCTTCTCCTTCTCTCCATTTATGGCTTGTTGTCTCTTTCATCATGTTGTTACTTTCATGCAATATCATCTCCATGTTTTGATTCCCTATACTATTAGCTCTTGATATCCCATCATCTCTTATTGGTTCGACATGGTTATTGTAACAGCCAGTATTTTCACTCCACAATCCACTCAATACATCTGCTACACGTCAGAAGATTAGTACCACAATTAATCCAAGCATGTATACGTGTATGTATTCATATGTCATACCTTGAGAAAAAGTAGAAATGGCTTGAAGATCATCTGAAGCCATAAACATATGATCACTAGCCGGGAAACAAATAGAGATAGGATCAACATTAATGATGTCTTGGAAAGAAAAACAAGCTTGGGTTTGAATATCACTAAAAGGGTTGTTAGTGAACGAACTGCACAAACTCAAACAACCAAGAAAGCATATATATTAGATGATTAACTGATAATGCATGCATACAAATCACTTTTTCCCCTTATTTGGTAGTATAACAGTATAACCCTCATGAACTTACTTGTAATCGAAAGACATTGATTGATCGAGTAAGGAGAACAAGTTTTCTTCTTGAATGAACGATTCATAGTCATCGAACTGTGACCAGTTCTGTAGTGCTTTATGGTCAGTCATTTCGATTGAGATGGGGTTGATAAAAAGTAACGATTTTTCGAGTGATGAAGAAGAAAGCGAAACGTGTGTTTTATATGTATTTGGAATGTATAAACGCTTTAGCCTATATGTATAGATAGAGGAGTCCTCGTGGGAAGTGGGTATTTATGGTGAGCCGTCAAAATCATTAGATGTCTTGTGTAAGTTACGAGAGAAAGATATTACTGTAGAAGTTAATGATTATAGTTAATAGATAAAATTATTTATTTAATGTTATAACTGTATATTTATATCTACTAATTATGGCCCTAATTCAATAGGCTTAGCTTCCCCATTCCATCATGCAATTTAAAGTTCATGATATCTTGCTTGTTGTCATCTTTCAAAATCTTTTTATTTTTTCAAAACTAATCATGAAAATAGTTATACTGACGTAAACGTGAGTACTTACAGATCGTATCAGTTTGTATATGACGGGCCATCTCCATTATGATTACCAAAACCGAATTGGAATGCCAAGTTAACCGGATTAAAGGTAATTAAGGTTTTATAATTATGAGTTAAATTGATTTATATAACCGTGATTTGAATCATAGTCGTAGATCCTTGTGACACATCTTGGGTTTTGATAATCTATACTATTATATAAGAAGTAAATTTGCTTATTTGTCAACTTCTCTTTGATTTTAGGTAAATTTGTTTATTTATATTATTTAAATAATTTTATATACAATTTCTTATTTAATAAAAGCAAATTTCTATTAATAATATTATACTTTTAAAAAATAAGATAATTCTTATGTATTATATTGTTATCTTTAAAATATACTTTTTATCATAGAAATTAAAATTAAGTTAAAATATTAATAGTTAAATATAAAGAAAGCAATACTGATTTATCAACTTCTTCATGGTTTTATACTTTGCTTATTTATCATATTTTAATAATTTCATATATAATTTATTAAATAATTAAACGAATGTATATAATAATATTAGATTTAAAAATGTAAGATAATTCTTATGTATTAGATTGTTATCTTGAACATATATTTTCTATTAGAAAATTTAAGTGAATTATCTGATTTGTAATTTTTTCATGATTTAGATAATTGTGATTATTTGTCATATTTTTTATAATTTCATATAAAATTTAATATTAAATAAAAACAAATTTCTATTAAAAATTATATTTCGAGAAAATAAGATACTTCTTATGTATTATATTGTTATCTTGAAAATATATTTTTTATTATAGAAATAAAAAATTCAGATAGAAAAAATAAATTAAAGCAACACATTTGTAAAAAAAAGGTATAATTAAAATAAATTAAAAGCAACACATTTGTAAAAAATATATTTTTAAAAATATTTTGTTATGTGAGTGTTGACATTTATAATTAATTTTAAAACATAAATCCTAACTTATTATATTGGTTTGAATTAATAAAATATAGACTAATAATAAATTGTACGAAAATTATGTCCGCATGTGCGGGCAAAACACCTAGTAAAAATAAAAATTTGAGCGAATAGGTGCAGATACAAAAAGATCAAAATACAATAAAATACATAGTTAGTCGGCCCGGCCAGAGAAAATATAGGCCGGAAAAAAACAATTTGTATTGATTAAAAATATGGAACTACAAATCTAGTCTTAAATCAACTACACTACCGAAAATAATGACAATTTGAAAGCTGAAAAGTTTGATAATCTAATCAGGGCCGGAACCACGTGGTTATATTGTTTGTACCCAGGGTCACTAGTGATTAGTCCAGTTGACCACCCCATGTAAACTCCTTCCACAATTTGACCTTCCTCTTGTAAATTGCGATGAGGTCAACAGCTTCTTTTATAAGTACATTTGATCCTTTAGCTACCCCACCACTCGTTCCTTGCTGCTTACGTTTGATTTAGCAAGCTCTACTAAACGCCAGAGAGTATCAATCATTAATGGTCAATCATCAAGCAATTTAGTATGAGCTGGAAATGATTATGTGAAGTTTATAAAACAAACGAAGTGAGTTAAGGTTTGCATACTAATTAGAAGGAAAAAAACGAATGTAAATTCAAATTATGCAGGCTACCACACGTGCTACACCTTTTCTTTTACTTTATTATCCCCAAGTCATATCCGTTGACTTCACAGTACTGTACTGCACTACATGTTTGGTCAATGGTCATGTGTGGTTTTCGGATTTTGACTATATTTATAATTATGAAAAAATAATACAAGTTTTATATTAGTCTGATTTCTAGTAACACAACCATATAACATTCCAAAGTATTAGCAAAAAAAGGTTTCAATCTTATTAGAAGAAAATAGCCGGGATGATCATGAGCAATCATATTTTTATATATCTCATTTTTTTGGGTGCGATTTTATATATCTTATTGGTAAACGCTTCCTTCTCCGTCAGTCACCTCACGCCGACCTTCTTTCGGCAAGCTCATATTCTGCTTCTTCATAAGACTGCACTGCCATATCATACGTGGGAAACGTTCCAAGCCACCTCCTCGCCTTTATACTTGGATCCCATATCTCAGCCGACCATTTACCTAATGGTTGATAAAAAGTACATATATAAACTGGTCGGACATATTATAAGATGTTGGAACATATAACATACTGAAATAAAGTTTACCTGATGGTTTAATCCTCACTCCTTTGTGCTTCTTCTCCTCTTTTATCTCTACGGGACGTGGGAATGCGCAGCCGTAGCAACCGGTGACACCGCAGATAGGACAAGGGCCAGCGTCCGGAGGCGGAAGAGCTTCTTCACTAGGGAGCCAGTTTGATGAAGAAGTGTCACCACCGGGGCTGGATATCACTTGTCGCAAAGTAGAGACGATGATCCCATGCTCTTGATCTCTTGTCAAGTAAGACGATTGTGAAACAGGGGTGAAATTCTCGTTTTGAACATTTTCTGAATTATTCATTCTCGCAGGCTCAAACTGATAATAATTCATTCCTCACGTCAAAGGATATATAGAAAGTCTTGTGGAGATTTGAAAACAAACAGACGACGTTGAGGGTTTATATGGGCGGACGTTGGGAGTATACATATGGGTCCATGAAATTTTATTTGTCAACTTTTCTTTTTTTTTTGGTAATCTATGTGTTTGGACGTTATAGAGTTAGTACACGCGGCACGAAGCTGTTACGCCGTTGGAAGATGTTTCTGTAGTAAATGCGATTTTGAGAGGAAACCAGTTAAGGAAGTAATAGTACATGTCAAGATATTAATTTTTTTCCTTCCACCAAAGTTTTACAAATTAGAGTACTTAAGTATCGGGTCAGTTTCTATTAAAAGTAATTCAATCATTACACCGAGTAACAGTTACTTCTTATTTCTTAACGTGGATGTCATTTCATGCCAAGTATGTCACGTTTTAAATATTTAAGATTTCACATGCAAATTTGGATTTATTTGAAGTCATTTGCTATGGTCTTCGTTTCTCATTAGATGAACTGGTTTGCATAAGTCCAGACACACAATTCCGTTGGCTTTCGGTTAATATATATTCTTCTAGTTATCAAATGCTTTAATATTGAAGTTATATAACACATTATTAAAGTTTGAATTGATAGTTTAATAACAGGAAAGCACAAATTTAACGATTCAAACGAAAAACCCATGAATTCGCACTATTACATAAATGGCGCATTAGTTAACTATTGTGTGCGTGAAAAAGGATGGATCGTTGCTGCTAAGCTGGGCAGGATTGGGCTGGGCCTAAAATAGAGTTTGAATCGTGGATCTTGGTGAATGTAATGGATTAAAGAAACATGAACCCATATGTTCACCGGATTGAAATTTCGGACAGTTTCGAGTTTCTCTGTTTAACTTGTTTGAGAAGAAATGTATAACTAGAAAAGACATCAATGTGTAATTATGATCAATAGATACAACACTCTCTCTCTCTCTCTCTCTCTCTCTCTCTCTCTCTCTCTCTCTCTCTCTCCATGTATTTATTATGATCCGACCAATCTTTCCTTGGTGAAAATATGATCAACGTTGACCAAAGAACAACCGGGTTGACTCAAGCTCACGCAGCTGGTCTCCGCCGTCTCTCAGCCCGCGCCGCCGCTCCACCCACTCCTAGCATCAGAAACACCCTTCTACCCTTCTCCACTCTCGCCAATGAAATTATCACACTTATAAAAAACTCAGGCATAAAAATCCAACCGGGTCTCACCGACGCCGAGTTTACCCGAGTCGAAGCCGAGTTTGGCTTCCTCTTCCCACCGGACCTCCGTGTTATCCTCGCCTCCGGCCTCCCCGTCGACGCAGGCTTCCCGGACTGGCGCTCTCCGGGAGCTCGTCTCCACCTCCGCGCCATGATCGATTTACCAACCGCAGCTGTGTCGCTTCAAGTCGCGAGGGACAGTCTCTGGTGCAACAAATCTTGGGGGATGAAACCACCCGACCCGGAAAAAGCTTTACGGGTCGCGAGAAAGGCCTTGATGAGAGCTCCTTTGTTGGTTCCTGTTTTTGATCACTGTTACATTCCTTGTAGCCCGTCTTTAGCGGGTAACCCGGTTTTCTTTGTAGACGAAACTCGGATATTTTGTTGCGGGTCGGATCTATCCGAGTTTTTCCAGCGTGAGTCTGCTTTTCGTAGTCTCACCAAGCAGCGCTCGTTGAGTGAGATGTCTTCTGGATCATCATCCTCGAACTTCTCTAGGAGGAGCTTAGATTCGGGTCGGGTTATCGGGTCAAGTACGTCAAGATGGGTGGAGTTTTGGAGCGAAGCAGCGGTGGATAGTTGCCAGAGAAATTATGGCTCCACATCATCATCATGGTCATCTTCTTGTTCATCACCGGACTTTCCTAAAAAGGAAACTCCGAAATGGGTGAACCAGTACGTAAACCGGATCGGTTCGGTTTTGAGAGAAGGCGGGTGGGAGGAATCCGATATCGACGATATGATCCACGTGTCAGCTTCTAGTTTCTTCGAGAGTGAAGTGGTGGTTGTAGATAATCAAACGGTTCTTGATGTACTTCTTTTGATAGTGGGTCGGTTATCGGAGTCGCTCCGTGAAACCGGGTGGAGCTACGAAGAAGTATCGGAGGCTCTTGGTTTCGAATATGGACGGGAAAAGGAAAGAAAACGGGTGAAGAAATTATCGCCTGAACTTATAGAACGAGTCCAAAAACTGGGTGAATGGGGTTCCCGGTTATGACTAGTTCATGCATATATATGTGTTTCAAGTAAACAAAAACAACACTGTTTCATGATGTTTAGAACACTATGATTTTTCTTTTTCCCCAATAAAATTTAATTGATTTATAGTAAACTACTAGTAGTGGTGATGATATTAAACTATTAACAGAAAAAAGATCTGAAATTTGGGTATTTAGCAATGGAGTTTCTCTAACTACGTACTGATAGATCGGCATGCATGCACGTGTGAGGACTTCAAAACAAACGACAGACGACTGCAAAGGACGGCGTCGTCGGAACGCTATATTATTACATGTAATATCGAGTTACGAGTTGATAAAAAAAAAAAAAAGTAATATCGATTACACACGTTCTTAAATATAAAAACAAACACTATATTATTTGTAAATCACCTCACTATATTAGAATTGTAAAGTCGGATCAAGAAAGTTGTTGGATTCTGTGTTTGTCAGGTGACATGAACAATTATTGGAGAAACTAAACGAGTTAAGCCAAAACTATAAAGCTATGTACGTGACCAAACGCTTAATAATCCAGATACATATACGCAGCTAGATGAGTTGAATCGGACAGCCTCTATAGCTGGAAACACCTTGAAGATAAAATGTATTTGTATATTATGTGCGATGTACGTATCAGAGAAAGGCAAGGTCGTTGGTTATACAACTTCAATTATTATGTTAATCAATCATTAATATCCCTGGCTAGCTAATACTATACTATCTACTGCTTTTGTATTATATTGTAGAGTTGTATTGTATACATCACCCTTTTCTCTATTAATAAAGCGCTTAATTTCGTTTTTAACTCAGCATTTTATGAGACCGAAAATTTAACAAATCTAATTGCGTAACTACAGTGCTAGACTTTTTTTTTTGCTAATATTTGGGACTACAGTGTTAGACTTGCTCGATCAGTAGTATATTGTTCCAATCAAAATGTGATTGATATCGTATACCTTGTTTATACAAAAGCGTTATTTATGTTATATACACACTCATATTATCTACTGTCCACCATTAATGTTGTTCATCCGATCACGTGGGAATCCCACCGCCTCATCGTGCCTTCCCGCATCGGTCTGAGTTCTTCACGAGAGACGCCCCAAAAGAACAACGCAAATAATTGTAAACAGCAAAAAGTCATGAAAGCGTAAAAAAACTCACGTATAAACCACATGAATAATAATATAACACTACCAATAACGAAGGGGTCCCATCTTAGAAAACATGCATGAAATGATTGATTACAACTACAAGGTAAAGATCTGATGGACGGTGTGCAGCCTCGTTGAGCCAAGAGATATCAACCGTTCATTTTCACTGGAAGGGCTTGTTCGATGGATATGTACAGTGGAATTGGACAGTGGTTATTAATGGAAGATGTGACTTTACCTCAGACACCAAAACATGTCAGTAAAAGTTTTTGTTTCACACTTTACAATTTTCCTCTTCTTGTTTCTTCTACAATTTATTATCCACATGAATTATATGTTCCAAGCACCAAAATAACTTATCCTATTTTTTCTTTCTTTTGCTTCTCAAGCTAATCTATTCACTTGAAAAGAAAGGAAGCTTAACATTGTAACAATCATTAACCTTTCATTACCTAAAACAAGTTTAATAGTTTGACAAGCAAATGAAGCGTAAACGTTCTGTATAATTATCCTTTGTTCAATAGTATATACATTGCTATGCAAGGAATACATTTTTTTCTGTGAAAATTACTACACAAATTATCTGCCAAACTGATAAAATATTTAAATTTCACCGTCGGTTTACTCAAGTATCAAGCAGCCTGAAGCAATTTACCGTCACTCTTCTCATCCCTTCTCGTCAATTTCGGAGTTGTCCTGATCACCTTGACCCTAAACGCTGCCTGATAAGAACCAAACCGGTTTTTTCAGAACCAAAACCTTCAACGGTCCGGTATAAACTTAAACCAAGATTTGGTAATACGTGTCTCACCTTCTTGTCCGAGCCAAACTCGATGATATCGGACGGTCTAAACCGGGCAGGGAAGTTTGGTGTCACTCTGTATTTTCCTCCTTCGTTACTGGTAAACAATATTTCAAAACAATTCAAACATCTGATCAGATAAATTCAAAAGACTCAAAGAAAGATAAGCGAAGCTTTACTGGCTTACTCGGTAATATAGGTCCCGTGTGCGCTTCGAAGATCCATCAAGAAGAAAGCTCCATCTTTGTAGATTACACGTGCATGCATTTTCGATACCTAAACCAAAATATTTGACAGAAACTTTATGTTCCTTCCTTCCTTGAATAGGGAAACTAATTATTAGATACGAGGTTTCAATATATACCTGAGGGGAAGGGATCACAATGTGCTTTCCAGGAAAATCTTGGTCTGGTTCACTTCTGTAATCACAAAGAGTCTCATAAGTTAACAAGCTAAGAGACACTGATGAGTGAACTTTTTCTTTTTCATACCCGACAATGCAAGGCTGATCCTCATCTTTGGTTAGACGTAATGTTTCAGAAACGCTACACTTGTTGCCATGTGGAATAAGATACCATCTGCAAAGAAATACAGACTCAGGCCAAGCATTTAAGAGAGAGCAAAGGTGGCTTTTTGGTAAGTGAAAAAACATGTGTTATGGTACATACTCTCCGTTAATAGTACGTTCAAGAGCCTCATCGTCTTCAAACCACTCACGAAGGCGGTCATCAGCCTTCAAATATAGAGTTACATTATGATATTAATCACTTAATGAATTTATTAAAGTGCGGTGGAGAAAAGAATGAAACATACTTTGTCAGTGAGTCTGCAACTAGGTGGCCTTCCTTCGAGTTTCTCACTGCAAATTAGAATGTAAAACAAAGTTGGCTTTACAAACGAAATGTAAATGGAATCGAGACACTTTCCACGGAGAAAGATCTAACCTGTTACCCCCAAGGACCCAGTTAAGCATCAAAGGCATAGCAATGTCAATGAAGAATCTCCCACCAACTCTTCCTGGATGTGGTACTCTAAACTTGGTCAAGAACTGCAAAAAGAAAGTTATGAGAATTGGAATACTCACAGCCAAAAAAACGATGCTTTTTAGGCATATCTATCATTGAAAACTAATTAAAAATTACTTACAGAGAGAGGACCAAGCCCAACACCTAAGTATGCTTTGTAAGTAGAAGCCATAATTGCAGCCATTCTCGCCATTCCATGGATAATAGCCACTCTGAGTCTTCTTGATTCCTCATATCTAAACCAAATTAAGTACTTATTAGACTCCCAAACTAAACAAAAAGAGTTGTGTGTTTTAGTTTTTACCTTCTCAGAGAGGAAACAACATCAACAGGTGTATTAGTTTCAACACTCTGTTTCCATGCCCCTTCAAGCTCCAATCCTAGCTGAAAACTATCCTGCAAAAATCATTGAAACATTCCACTCTCAACAACAATTTTTTTAAAATCAAATCAAGTCAAGTGTTGAATTGATTCATATATAGATAGATAGAGAAAGATACCTCAATGGCCATGCATCCACCTTGACCCATATTTGGCTGCATCGCATGAATAGAATCACCAAGTAAAGTAACACGCCCTTTACCCCAAGTGAAACTAGGACTTCTATCATAGATATCTCTCCTGAGAATCGCTTTCTCCTCTGTCGCGTGAAGTAAATCCAACACATTGTCGCACCAACCTTCAAATATATCAAACAATCTTTTCTTCATACCTGCAAAAAAACAAAAAGCAAAAGAAAAAGCTAATTATGTGATTTCATAACTAAATGCAAAAACCATAGATACAAATCAAACAATGCCAAGAATATACCATTTGGAGCATCAGCCCCACCAGCTGCTTCCTCGTGGAACGCATACCATTGCATTTTTCCACCACCAACATCCGAAGAAACAAAGTATTGCTTGTGTCCCAAGAACACCCGGTAGCTTTTCAAGACACAAACAAGTCCAAATATCAGAAAAAAGAAGATTCATAATGAACAGAGTAAAGATGCATTCAAACATACCCAACAGACTCGATATCAGCTGGTACAAAATCTGCAATACCGGTGTAACAAGTGTATCCTGAATAAGTAGCTTCACTTCGACCAAACAAGTTATTTCTCACCTATACACAAAAAACAAAAGGTAAAATCATTCAAGTTTACTCCTCAGCAATAACAAAAGCTACTCAATCAAAGTAACCATACTTTAGACCATATGCCATCTGCACCAACAAGTAGATCACCATCATAACGTTCTCCATTCTCAAGCACCACCGTCACCTAAACAAATAAACAAAATCCATTAAAACATTTCCTTCAGCAAAAAAAAAAACCATTAGCCTTTTAAATAAACATCACTCAAATCACAACCTTATCTCCAGAATCTTCAAAATCAACAACATTACTCTCATTTCTAATAATCTCTTCCCCAACCGCACGTGCCAAGATCTGCTGCAGTGTCATTCTACTAATCACCCTAGTCACAGGAAGTCCACGCGTCGCCGCAGGAGTAAAAGTATCAAACTTCACATACCTAATTCCAAAATTCAACACAACAAAAATTCACCAATATTGTCCCAACAACAAATAACATCAACTTGACAATACCAAAACTCACCAAGTACCAGAGACACCGTCAACAAGACCATTAATCCGATCACCAGTAATACAACCAGCATCCATAACTTCCTCAGCAACACCAATATCAATAGCTTCCAAAGCAGCTAAAGCGTTACTCTGTATCTGAATCGGACCTCTGTACTGTCCTTCTCCTCTTATAGCACTCAAATCCTTCTCAAACACCAACACATCAAACCCTTTCCTCTTCGCCGTTAGAGCAAACACTAATCCTCCGATTCCACCTCCCGCCACCAGAACCCTCGGCTTCTTCCTCTTCTCGGTTATTCCCTCTCGCTTCTCCTCTGATTCGGCCAATAAAGTCGCCGCCTTTACTCCGAGTAAAGCTCGACGCTTTCTTAGGGGTTTGCCGGTGAGGGGTGAGAGGTCGAGGTGGAACTGTTTGGCGACGGGGCTGAAGACATGGGTTTTGGTGAAATCGAGTTTTGATGGAGATGGGTTGATTGAGTAGCAGAACGGAGTTGAACCCATCGGAGATGAGAAGAGTTTTTTAATTTTTTATTTTGTGGTTTAGGCTCTGTGAGTGAAGAGGAAATGATTTTGAAGGAGGAGAAGAAAGGTAAATGGTGGAGAAGGAGAGGACAGGTGGCATCACCACCGCTTCACACTACATCCTCCTCTTATTACTGCTTATACAAATATCGCTTCTCATTGTGGGCACTTCTTTCCTCTCCGCCATTAGATTTTCATCTAAATAACATTTCAAAATAATAATGTAAATAATAATAATAATATCTTAGTATTTTGAATGTGACGTGATAATAAGAGCATGACCTGGTAATAAACTCTTATTGATATGTATTTCGCAATTTATAAGCCACTAATATTTTGGTTTTTACATCATTCAATTCTTATCTTGAATAATATTCATGAATCCAATTGTGTCATGTCGACGGGAATAAAAATCTATTTTACTGATTTTTATATAAAGACAATAATATTTGTTGTCAAAAAAAAATCAAGACAATAATATTTTAAGGGTAAATATCTTAAATGGTCTTTTTTTGTTTTTGTTTCAAAATAATACTTACAAATTAAAGTGACCCAAAAGAAGTTATTAAGAGGGGTTAAATAATACTATATCTTTTCATAATTGTAATTAATTATTTCTTAATGTGTGTAAAATTATAAAATCAGAAATTTTGTTCTCGACTTTTAAAATACTTTCCCCTATTTAAAAAAGAACAATACTTGGGTTCACCCCCGAGGTGAATGGTTAAATTCACCTCACCTCTTATAGCCAATCAAATTGCCTTGTCAGATTATTTAAAAAAGGAAATATATTAAATTAAAAAAAAAAACGGTTAGAAAAATTACTGTATGAAAAACTCTAACCCCCTAAACCATAAACTCTAAATTCTAAACCCCAAATTCTAAAACCNGAACAATACTTGGGTTCACCCCCGAGGTGAATGGTTAAATTCACCTCACCTCTTATAGCCAATCAAATTGCCTTGTCAGATTATTTAAAAAAGGAAATATATTAAATTAAAAAAAAAAACGGTTAGAAAAATTACTGTATGAAAAACTCTAACCCCCTAAACCATAAACTCTAAATTCTAAACCCCAAATTCTAAAACCTAAACTCTAAAACCTAAACTCCCTTTGATTCTAGACCCTAAATTCTTAACCTTAGACCTGAATTCAAGACTCTAAACCCTAGTTCATAAACTCTAAACCCTAAATTCTAAACCCTAAACCCTAGATCCTAAACCCTAAACCCTAAATCCAAAACTCTAAACCCTAGATCCTAAACCCTAACTCTAAATCTTAATTCTTAAACCCTAGATCTTAAACCCAAAGATTTTAGGGTTTTGTAATTTAGAGTTTTGGGTTTAAGAATAAGAATTTAGGGTTTAAGGTTTACGATCTAGGGTTTAGGGTTTAGAGTTTAGGATCTAGGGTTTAGGGTTTAGATTTTTGGGTTTAGGGTTTAGGGTTTAGGATCTAGGGTTTTGGGTTTTGGGTTTAGAGTTTTGGGTTTAGAGTTTAAGATTTAGGGTTTAGAATTTATGATCTGGGGTTTAGAGTTTATGTTCTATGGTTTAGAGTCTAGAATTCAGGTTTAAGGTTTAGGGTTTAGAATCAAGGGTTTAGTTTTTAGGTTTTAGAATTTAGGATTTAGCTTTTAGAATTAGAATTTATGGTTTAGGGATTAGAGTTTTCATACAGTAATTTTTCTAACTATTTTTTTTTTAATTTAATATATTTCCTTTTTTAGATAATTTGACAAGGCAATTCTATTGACTATAAGAGGTGAGGTGAATTTAACCATTCACCTCGGGGGTGAACCCAAGTATTGTTCTTTAAAAAATGGTATTCCTTAAAGATATTGGATTAGTTCAACACAAAGTAGCCCGAATGTCACTTTGAAAATTATTTAACACAGCACATCTATCATAAGCCCATTAGTAATAATGTTCTAAAATTAACCAAATAAAAAGCCTGGCCCATTACGCTTTCGTAAATCAGGCTGATGATCCAACAGTCTCAAAACCAATAATTGTCACATCCCTTATCCAACACCGTGCCCACACCAGATCACTCATCTTCACACACTCGAAAAACCTCACACGAAGGCCGAGAGGTCCATAAATGGCGCATTAGTTAAAAACCTCATGTCACCTCTTCACTAGTTGCTTCACTCTCTTCCATTACTATTTTCTTTCTTCTCTGCTTTCATCTCCAGCATCGCCATGGCAGCAGCTCCGTCTCTTAACCTCCTCTTCCTCATCACTCTCTCTCTTCTCTTCATTTCACTCCAAAGATCTGAATCTCTCCCCGAGAGCCCATCCATGATTCTTCTAGGTGACGGTATCGACTGGTCGATCTCTCACGGTGGTAACGCATTCAACATCGAAGAAGAAAATGCAATGGAGGAAGAGGAGGACGTCGGTGTCGTAGATCGACGGTCATTGTACTGGCATAGGAAGAGATACTACATCTCGTACGGTGCATTGTCTGCGAACAGAATCCCTTGTCCTCCCAGATCCGGAAGATCCTACTACACTCACAACTGCTTCAGAGCTAGAGGTCCGGTGCATCCGTACAGTAGAGGCTGCTCTTCCATTACTCGATGCCGGAGATAAACTAGAGAAGAAAAGACTTGCTGCGTTATCCATGGGTGTTTTCGTAATTTACTATCAACCGGACCATGTTTTGTACTGTTTTCGATGTGTTGTGTAGTAAAACCGTGTTTAATTCCGTTTAATTAAATCTCGGGGAGTATTATTCCACTGCTATCTATCTACATGTATTAATTTTGCTACTTTTGTCGGTGGATTTTAAATTGTCTTTTGTACTGTTAATCACTCCAACTTAAAACCGGGAAGAATCACATGTATTTGGATTTATCTGTCAGATAATGTTTTGGCTCCTATATATGTGGCTCTTGAATGTGATTTTCATTACTTGTTGGGTCGTCGTTTATTATTGGGCATTTACGTTATTAGGCGTTTCCTTACGGCCCATTTTAGGAGTTTTCGTAGTGGGTGATAGGACCTGGACCTGTGTGAATATAGTGGTTGTTGTCATTTCATCACGTGTACAAACTACGTAGAAGAACTGTCTTCCAAAGTCCAAACTACCACGAGTCGTAGAACACGCACGTGTGTAAATAAAAACTCTTCTTATCATGAATAGTCAAGAGACGGCTCTTTCTTTTTTGCCTTTTTTGCGCATAAATTTCTAAACATGGAAGAGAGTCAAAAGGATTTGGATTTGGTATGTCTTAGGGATGGCCTTTGACCCAACTTTATGGTTGAAATGAAAAGAAACGTGTGTTAAATTAAAATGCATGAACTTGCGTTTGGCGGCTGGTTATCGTTTGGTTTCATATGACCTAAATCTGAATTTGACAAAATATTAATCCTGCTTGTTATAATGTTTTATTTTTCACGTTGGTTAAAGTTGACTTTTCTTATGTGCATAAAGACACAAATGATAGATTATGCAATGATAGAGGGTGTGATTACTTTGCCCTCTCCTCGTTCAAGGGGGTCAATCAATCTAAAATTCCAAGTTAGACGGAATATTCCAAAACTTTAGGTTGTGGATATGTTCAAAGGACCCCTATTGAATTTCCTACAAGGTTAGATTGAACGTGGAGCAAACCAACTATTCTGATTCAACTTTATAATTGACTTGTGTACTAGGAACTATACATCCTCTTTTATATTTTCATCATACCTTAGAACTGCCTTGCATATATGAACTCAAGCGATACTCAATGTGCAACGGACAGCAAACATGACCAACACAATCAATACTATTGTGTTAATGAGGCAGCAATGAGCAAACTATTATCGTTTCATTTTATTTTTATGCATATATCTTCAAAGTATCTAGTTAGAAATCTGCTTAACCTACACATTTATCAACGTATAAAACTCTTTCTGTTTTAAAGTAATAGATTTCAAGATTTTTGTACACTAATTTCTAGTTTTATCCAATCTGGCTCATTTGTATAAAACAACAGTAACTATATCTAATTCACCCAATAAAAAATTATACTACAAAATATAAATGGTATAAATATCAAATCATATTATTTATTTGCATAAAACTTTGAAAACATCACATAAAATGAAACAAAATCCTAAAACTCATTTATAATGAAACCGGGTGTGGAAATCTTCTTGGTAAAGTGGTTTAATTAAGGATTCATTAATGTTTCTATACAGAAGCAAGCGTAGATCCCATAAAGTGATTCATGTGATGTAGTCAAACGTGAATCCTTATACGGCATATATAATTATTCGTTATATAATCATCAGTAATATTTTTCATAGTTGTACTAACATAATTATCTAGTGTTAAAAAAACTAAGCGGTAATATTATATACATGTGAGGACATTTATTGTGACATTTTCTTTTTCAAATGACGTTTGTAGTTTTTACAATTTATAAATTAAGATATTACTAATATCCTACAATGTTCATACATGAAAAGTTATTGCTTTTATTTTATAATATATGATGTTTTTGTTTATTATAAAAATATAAAAAAATTATGTTTCAGAGATGCTTTTAAAGATATAATTTAAAATTGATTCAACCAATTAATAGAAAAACAATTTATAGTTGAACCATTTTTAATAAAAGTAAATTAACTGTTAAACCTTCTAAAACATGGTATAATTTGAAATGGAGTGAATATTTTTCTGTTGTACCACATCCTATTATCATAAGATTTCAAAGTTGACATGATCTATATGTATATGGATGAAGATGCGTGGCAGATTAAAAACGCAAAAGTTTGTCTAATTCCCTAAAAAAAGGGAATTGAGCTGTATAGATAGACAAAAAAGCATAATTCATTTTGTAGCCAATTTCCCTAATATACAGATACACGGCATGTCTTTTCTATAATATTGCTATACTACCCTTTCTTTCTACCGGTGAAACTTGTAAAGAATAAAAAAATAATTAATAATTAATGATTGTTAAAGAAAAACGTGGCCTTCATTACTTTCACAGATACTCTCAAAATATTCAATATTCTAGTTCTATTCTACATGATATGTTCTATTTTGTATTATATATGACTATGCAAGTAGGAAAATAACATAGTACTACTTTCAAAATAAAATAATGTAGACAGTGTATTTTGTAAATATAATGAATTTCTTTAGGGGTTTATATGGTTTTTCTTATATTATTTTTCTATTATATATTTTCTTGCGTCTTAGAATTTAAGCATCTTAAGAACTAAAATGGGATAAAATGACTATTCTATTCTATTTATAGATGTTTCATACTATATCTAGTACATAATGAGAAATTTGCATCATATTATATAAATTCTATTTGGATTTATAAATCAGTGATTAGGATTTAGATTTAGTAAATAGTTTTTTTTTGGTTTTAGTATTTAAGCACAATAAGAGCTAATAGAAATACAGTAAATTGTTCATACTATACTATTTATAAATGTTTCATACTATGTATAGTAAGCACGAGATATTTGCAGCATATTATGTAGATTATGTTTGGGTTTATAAATCAGTGCTTAGGGTTTAGATTTAGCTAGTACTACCAAGTTTGTTTTGCGTTTTAGTATTTAAGCATTTTAAGAACTAAAGTGGGGTATAATGACTATTCTATTCTATTTATAGATGTTCCATACTATATCTAGTACATAATAATTAATGATTGTTAAAGAAAAACGTGGCCTTCATTACTTTCACAGATACTCTCAAAATATTCAATATGCTAGTTCTATTCTACATGATATGTTCTATTTTGTATTCTATATGACTATGCAAGTAGTAAATTAATTGTTCCTGCTATACTTTTATAAATGTTTCATACTAATTATAGTAAGTACGAGATATTTACGGCATATTATATAGATTATGTTTGGGTTTATAGATCAGTGATTAGGGTTTAGATTTAGTACTAACAAATTTGTACTACATATAATATGGTTTTCATTCCGACTAGGGTAGTTGAACATGTGCTATTTGAAATGGAAAAGCACATGTGCTATTTGAAATGGAAAAAACTTAGTTTTAGAGAGTGGTTACGTGTCATTCCAAATATGGCTATTTATGAAGAATCGTATCAGAAATAATATACTATTCGCTTTCCATTCCGTCTGACCATATATTTTGTTCCACATATTTAAATTCTATATTATATCAGATGGTACAATTCTAATTGCTATTACACAAATAAGCCCTGTAAAAGGTGTTAGAGTGTTATCGTATTTACGCCTGTCTTGTCACAATTTCTATGTCATATTTGGCATGTAGTATAGAAAAGAATTTGACATGTTCCAAGACATTTATGTTTCATACACGCTCATATGTATTGTTTACAGCTGTCATACGTCTTTTGTATATTTATGTGCCACTAAATAGCCACGTCTTTTGCTTTTGACATTTTGACTTGTAACCTGTTACATTAAAAGGTAGAACCGGCTTAAAAGAAACCAAAAAATCTGACACTACATTATGTTAAAATCAGTGTTACTTTCTTAATTTGTCACTCAAAAATAGCTATCTCGCCAATAAGCCCTTAAAAAACGCAAAAGAAACTGATGAAATCTCCAAGAAATAAACTGTGGGCCGCCGTATTTGTTTTTTAATTAGTTATCACCGGGAATTAATAATGGTGTAAATAAATTACCAAGAAAAGGATGACAACTCTCTTCCTCGGATTGAGTGAATCCCTCCAAGTCGCCTGGCGGTGTTGGTCATATCCATTAACCTTCACCTTTTTCTTTTATCCACAGTGTATATATTTATATTCAAGCTAAAGTAATTTATTCTTTAGTATAGGTGTTTTTTTTTTCTTTCTTTTTTTTTGCATCATAGCCTCGTAGGTATTTTTTTTTTCTCACCGTCGTTTCTGATCATATATATTTTAACCTATCGTCAATATCGTTCAGATTTTTTATGTATTAGCCAAAGCAAGTTGTAGTAGACAGGGGGCCATAGAGATCACAACTCCATCCAATCTAATGGCTAGAGATCACGTCCTTGTGACCCTCCCTTGCAATATATTTCCATATGATTTAATATTCAAAACAAAAATTATAGAAGAAGAAAATAATTTTGAGTATACGGTCGGTTACCTTTTTGTTTTGAACTTCTATGTTGTGTTAAAAAACTGTAAAACACAATAAATGAAGGAACATGGAAGCATGTGATGGTGACGGAGTTACCTACTGAGTGTTACTGCTTACGGTTTAGAATTTACAGAACAATTTTCCTTTCTTCCTTCAACTTGTCTGCGTGTTGACGTTCGTCACGATGATATAGTATTTTTTTATTACAAAATATCACAGGGAATATTTATATTCAATTGGATATGTAGTACTAGTATTAGATATTTTTTTGCTAAGAATATTATTATATATTGCAAAAAATAAAATTCCGAGCCGCAGCAACTTGCGAAAGTCTGTTGGTCGAATGACTTCGGTACGAAGCACTCCTCCCAGTCCCGCGCTTTCATGCTCATCTTTTAATTATATTATTGCTATTAAAGATGAAAAATGAAAACTCAAGTTATTAAATTAGAGTATATCAAACGTGAATGTTTTTGTGTCATGCCCATAGGAATCCAGACTTGTGCAGGCAAGTTGGCCATGAAGTAACTTCATAAAACATTATAATGATAGATGTGGGTAATAAAATATGAATGATGATTGGTAGGTTTTTAAATTTATTTTTTAGCTATTATATTGAAGCATCTCTAATATGAATATGTTGTGTATATATTATTGGAAACGGTAATTTTCAAACACCATCATTATAGAGTTTATATGTATATGTATAGTAATCACATCACAATATGCTAATGTGATCACCGTAAAACTTACGTAATCTCACAAAACAGGTAACTTTTTTTTTTGTTGGTAATCAAAACAGGTAACTTGACCCAAACTTTAAATAAAACTCTATTTTGCGGCTTTCCGCAGCTGGTGCCCCTAATCAGAGGTCGCTTAGATCTTTTAGAGCTAACTATTTAAATTATATTTAAGAGACATAACGGCGGAAAATATCATAACAAAAAATGTTAAAAGCGCCTCCAGCGGAGAAGGATTTGATTCTTGGATTGACCAAATGATAATTACAACGCCAACTTTTTTTTGAAGATACAACGCCAACTTGGTCTATTGTTTTATGGGGAATTGGGCTATATAGCCACACAAAAAAGCCTAATTAGTGAAATAGCCATTTACCCTAACAGATCAACACACGGCGTTATCTTTCTATATTAATACTATTTTATCCTTGCCATCAACCGGTTAAACCTGCACAAAAAAAAAGAAAAAAAATATAATTATTAGGTGTAAAGCTGTAAATCGTGACTTACCATCTTCTTCACCTTCCTTTTCACTTATCTAAGTAATTTCCTGGAAAGTGAAACATCTCCAACAACGACTCCATTTCCGCGTCGACTCCGCCTCCTTCTCCTCGAAATTTACCATCTCCTTCGTACTCCCATTCCAATCATGTACTTTTTGTTGCTTGTGCCATCCTCCGACATCATATGGCGTTAAAGTTGCAGCAGCGGTTATTAACAGATTTTTTCATCTCCAACTTCACCAAGTTGATTCTTCTCAGATCTTTGGAATTACAGTAAGTTCTCAGGTGTTTATCTTTGAATCTCTTCATATGTTGTTATTTTTCTTTTTAATTTGGTCGACTGTCGGAACTAGATGACTTTATTATAGTTGGTAAATCTATATTCTCGATACCATTGAATGTTGGATCTGATTTTTGCATCGAAGTTTGCCAATTGATTTAGGGTTTTGATTTCCCCGACTGTTCTTAATTTTGCATTTTAGGGGAGATACATAGTAAATAGTATAGTAATATAGTTTGTTGTATGGAATAGCATATGTAAGATAACTTATCTGCGTAAGATCTCTTATGCCTATTTTATTTGAGATGGAATAGAAAAAACTATATGTTTAAACTATTCTATTTGTGATGGAATAGTTTGACCAACTATTCTACTTGAGATGGAATTGAATGATATGTAATGTATGCGCTATAATTCTTTATCAACAATCATATTGTCTGAAATATAAAAGGTTATTTTCTATATAAAATATAATGAATTATTCTGTCATAACCATGTTTCCCTCTTACTTTGTTATGCAGGTTTAGCATGGACGATTTGCCTTCCAAATAGATTGTTTGAGCCATGTTTTGAACCCACTGGAAAGAATGATTAACAACTATTTCAACCTCCGTTGAATTGGAGTGATCAAGAATACATTAGAGTGTTCAATCTTGTTTATTGTTATTTCATATTCTCTTGATATAAGTTTTGTATTCGTATATATGTGTTTTATATTTTCGTACTTTTTGTTTAGTGGTGTAAGCAAAAGAAAGGGGTTAATCGCCAATGGATTGGGGTTTATATTTTCCTAATTTTGTTTAGTGATTAGCGTCCATAACATTTTAAATGACAATTTATGGGGTTATATTTCCCTAACTTATGTTTATTGATCGTGGTTTATATTTCTCTACGTTTTGTTTAGTCGGGTAAACAAAAGAAAATGATTAACAACTATTCCAAGATTTAGCTAATGGATTGGGGTTTATATTTTCCTAACTTTTGTTTAGCGATTAGCGTCCATCCTCAATATAGATGGTTACTTTCCTAACCCACCTCCTAATACCGTATGTAGTAATCCAACTTAAAAAAAACATAATGGACGCTAACATAAGAAAGGGGTTAATCGCCAAAGTATTAGGGTTTATATTTTCTTAATTTTTGTTTAGTGATTAGCGTCCATAACTTTTTAAATGACAATGTACTAGTCACTTTTCTAACCTACCTCCTAATACCGTATGTAGTAATCCTAATTGATAAAAAAACGAAATGGAACATATGAATACAAAAACGGAATGGAATGGATGATCTAGTTATAATGGAACAGAAATAGGTAAACTGTTTGAAGATTATCATAAGAAGGGGGTTAATCGTTAATGGATTGGGCGGCCATAGCATTTTAAATAAGAAAGGGGTTAATCGCCAAAGTATTAGGGTTTATATTTTCTTAATTTTTGTTTAGTGATTAGCGTCCATAACTTTTTAAATGACAATGTACTAGTCACTTTTCTAACCTACCTCCTAATACCGTATGTAGTAATCTTAATTAATAAAAAAAAACGGAATGGAACATATGAATACAAAAACGGAATGGAATGGATGATCTAGTTATAATGGAACAGAAATAGGTAAACTGTTTGAAGATTATCATAAGAAGGGGGTTAATCGTTAATGGATTGGGGTTTATATTTTCTTAATTTTTGTTTAGTGATTAGCGTCCATAGCATTTTTAAATGGGGTTTATATTTCCATAGCATTTTACCATAAGAAAACGGTTAATCTCCAATGTACTAGTGTTTAGATTTTCTTAATTGCTGTTAGTTATTTTCTTAATTGTCTTTAAAATGAAAATTTATGGGGTTTATACAAAAAAGTAAATGGGGCACTAAAAGAAACAGATTAAGGTGAGAAAAAGAAAAAGATTAACCTAATTCTTAACCCACCTACTAATACGGTATGTGGTAAGCCTACTGAGATTAATTGTTGTTAGTTATTTTCTTGATTGTCTTTTAAATGACAATTTATGGGGTTTATACAAAAAAGTAAATGGGGCACTAAAAGAAACAGATTAAGGTGAGAAAAAGAAAAAGATAAACCTAATTCTTAACCCACCAACTAATACGGTATGTGGTAAGCCTACATTCCATAAATTCACCAATATGTACTATGTTATTTGCTTTGTTCTATTCTATCTGAGTTTTGGGCAATGGTTTATATTTGGGTTGAGAATTTATATTTAGGTTTAAAGTTTATATTTGAGTTTATGATTCATATTAGGATAAGGTTTTAGTGAATTTAAAGTTTAGGGTTTAGTATTTATAAGGTGAGAGGGTATGGTTAGAGTCAGCATAACTTCTTCTATGCAGTCATAGACATTCCATAAATTCACCAAGATGTACTATGCTATTTGCTTTGTTCTATTCTATTTGAGTTTTGGACTATGGTTTATATTTGGGTTGAGAGTTTATATTTCAGTTTAGGATTCATATTGGAACAAGGGTTTAGTGATTAAAGTTTATGGTTTAGTATTTAGAAGGTGAGAGGATATGGTTAGAGTCAACATAACCTTTTCCATGCAATCATAAACATTTTATTAATTTATCAATATGTACTATGTTATTTGCTTTGTTCCATTCTACCTGAATTTTGGGATATGGTTTATATTTGGATTTAAAGTTTACTAATTAGAGTTTAAATTTAGTATTTAAGGGTGTAGTAAGATTGAGATAAAGTTTAGTGTTTAAGGATAGTGATTCAAATATGTTTAGTATTTAAAAATTGTAGGTGTAGTTATAATCCTATACTAACTGAGTGATATGGAATAGAACATTCATGTATATATATGTGGTTAATAAAAATATACGTGGACTGTTTTTCTTTCTTTTATTTAGAGTACTTTTCAAGATGTTCTTGACGTAATATTTTATTGGACACATTATTCTTTCCAAAATATTTACCTGATACCTGTAAAGAAGAAGGACAAAACCGGACACTTTATGGTACAAATGACAAACATTACATTATGTCAAAATCATTGACATTTACCTAATTTCTACTCAAAACATAGCTAGTTCACAAATAAGCCCTTGTTTTATATTGGTCCAGAGAGAATATCGAAATAGATATTTACTGGATTTTGGCTGAAGCATATTGGTATTTGGATGGCCATGACTTAACTACAAACCGCAATAGATTATCTTATATATGTACATCTAATTTGACAATATTTATGATGAGATCGTGGTTCATCAGTATTTTCTTACTACATATTTGATCACGAATCTTGTTATGATGTAATGGCAACGAAACATGGTTAACTAAAAAGTAGATATACCATTTTCTATACTATTTTGATACATAAATCACTGAAGGAGTATTAGGCTATTAGCTATTACTAATAGTGTGATTATAATCAGTCAGTGACAGCTATGAAGGAGTGGCATATACGAGGATAATTCTATTATATGCCGAGCAACAGAAACACATGAAAGGAGGATAGTCCAGAGCACTAAAGAAAAACATATTTTCTGTATACAATGTATTATGCTTAGTTAGCTCTTTTCTATTACAGCTACAAGCGGGAAAATATGAATATTTAAACATAGTTCTTTTCTTCAAAATATACACATTCACGTCAAAAATCGACATATGATGTATAAATGTATTGTCTATCATCACATTCTCTCTGGCAATACGTTTCCAATAATTTTGTATAATATCTCCTGCAAGCATAACTGAATGTTCTGAAACCTTGATGAGTTACATAACTTGATTTTCAACGCAAATTTAATATAACGGGATACTCTTATATAGCAAAAATAACGATCATTTATCTCATTAAATATCAAGCATGTTACTAAATTATTCATTTTGATTTTATCAAAAATGCCTAAGTACAGATATACATAGTGATAGATATTCAAGTAATTACACCAAAACAATAGGCGTGCCATAATATTTGTTTATCCAGCCTAAAATATCACGTAGCCTAGCCATGAAAAAATCTGCTTTCATCACGTGCATTAATTACTTCCCCAAAATTCAGACTTTACAAAATTAATTAAACAATTAAAAATAAAAAAGAGTAACCCCAAGTTGCTTCATTATTTTATTCATACAAAAAAAAAACTCGGTATATATATAGAGGAACTCGCAGCAGGAGGAATCATTAACCGTCACCAGCTTTCATGTTCTGTTCCATTTCATTTTTCATTACAAAAACTGCAACAGAGATTTGTTTAAAATGGAGTGGGTTCGAGGAGAAACCATCGGACACGGAACCTTCTCAACCGTTACTCTAGCGACGCCGACCAACAACGTCTCCGGCGAGTTTCCTCAAGTCATGGCCGTGAAATCTGCAGACTCACACGGTGCTGCTTCCCTCGCCAACGAGAAATGCGTTCTCGATAAACTCGGAGACGACTGCGACGAGATCGTACGGTGTTTCGGCGAGGATCGGACGGTGGAAAACGGCGAAGAGATTCATAACTTGTTTTTGGAATACGCTTCGAGAGGAAGCTTAGCGAACGGTGAGGGTCTACCGGAAGCTACCGTGCGCCGCTACACAGGATCGGTGCTTCGTGGTTTACGTCATATACACGCGAAAGGATTCGCTCACTGCGATTTAAAACTCGGGAATATTCTGTTGTTCGGTGACGGCGCCGTTAAGATTGCGGATTTCGGATTGGCGAGAGAAGTAACGGCGTTAAAAGACGGAGGAGTGGAGATTAGAGGTACGCCGTTGTATATGGCGCCTGAATCAGTTAACGATAATATGTACGGATCAGAAGCTGACGTGTGGGCTTTGGGATGCGCTGTTGTTGAGATGTTTAGTGGCGAAACGGCGTGGAGTTTTAAAGAAGGGTCGCACTTCATGTCGTTGTTGATACGCATCGGTGTCGGAGAGGAGGTTCCGAGGATTCCCGTGGACTTGTCGGAACAAGGAAGAGATTTTCTGACAAAGTGTTTCGTTAAAGATCCCAAAAAGAGATGGACGGCTGAGATGCTTCTAAGTCATCCATTCCTAGCCGTCGATCTTGATCACGACGATTTTGAACAAGAAGAAGAAGTCGTTAGTCAATTGAAAACAGAGGACGTGTTCACATCGCCGAGATGCCCATTTGAGTTTCCCAATTGGGTTTCTGCTTCCTCTGATTCTACGCAATATCATCCGTTCGATTCGCTGGAGGAGAGAGTTGCAACTCTGGTGACTGACTTGAACCCTGATTGGTCTGTTACCAATAACTGGGTCGTCGTACGGTGACTGTAGTCACTAAAAACAGGGGAGCAGAACAGAGTTGCATTGAAAGGCTAGAGTTTTTTCTAGTCCTAGTCAGATCTTACATATTATAATTAAATTGATTTATACAATATTTTGTTAATAGATGTATATACCAATTCTTGTATTCTTGAGGCCTACACTATATGGAAATACCAATTTTGTATTCATTAGCAATTGTCTTAATCTAGGTTGTATGAAAACTCCTTTAAGGTTTCTTGCGGAAACGTTTCAAAATCAGAATCTCTTGGAAAGTCGAAGAAACTCTTTGGAAACACGTTTCTTAAAAATTTCATTTTGGAAATACGATGAAAACTTGTGTTTCTGATTTGGAAACCCGAATTCTAATTTGGAAATCCGCAATTCTAATTTGGAAACTCGTGATTATAATAAAAAACGTAAAAAATAACTATTTGGCATTTGATGTTAGTGATTACATGTTTATTATTTTATATTTTAATCTTATCTTTTGATATTTGTAATCATTTTAGTATAATGATTTGATTTGGAATGAAATCTCTCCATAGCTTTATTGAATGATAACATGTGTTACTTTTTTAGTAATTGATTATAATTTTAATAAAATGTACAAAAAGTATTTATATTACTTAATTTTTTTCTTAGATAAATCAAACAAAAAAAATTTTACATGTTGATTAATCATATATATATATATATATACATATATATTATAGGCGTTTCTAAAACATTTCCATCATTTAAAAAAAAAAAAATCATGTTTCCATGTTTAGAAACGTTTCGTTTCCACGTATCCGTTTTCGATTTCATGCAACTTAGGTCCTTATTCTTTTTCTACATTATCAAGGAATACGAATCTCGCAAATATCATAATTTAGAGATATACGTTCTGGTATTCACTTGCAATTTGGTTCAGATATATTTGGATTTTTGAAGTTAAAAAATTCAGCCATATTTGAATATTTATAAATTTTGGTTCGTGTTCGGTTGGGATTCCTGCGGAACTGATTTATAACTTGTTTAAATTATTGTAATTAAATTCATATATACAAATTTTTTGTTAATACGTGTATATATCAATTCTTGTATTTTTAAGGCCTACAGTATATGGAAATCCAATTTTGATTTCATTACAATTGTCTTAATTTTCTTTCTACAGGGAATATGAATCTCGCAGAGATCGTATCATTAGGCACCATCATCATACGAATAAAGCATAATCTACAGAAGTAAAGATCTCAAGACTCTTGGACAAGGCTCGTGGCCAGTGGCCACCACATGACAAATCCATAATCCACGTTCTCACGCAACGCTCTTGGAGTCTCAAATTTCACGGTGTAGTGTATCTTAGCTTATCGTTTTTGTCGCGGAGAACTAATGTCTCCCCCGTTGTTCAAGCTTCCAACTCTCATGCTAAAGCTCCTCTGGGCTTCTCCCGCAATTGTCAAGCCCAATAAGCTTCTCTACTCTCCATTGTTTTATTGGGCTTTATTAAACAAAACAAAGCCCATTAATATTAAGCTTATTAGGGTTGTTAAGTACCAACGTCAATTCGGATCTCTCACAGTCTCGCAGATAGAGAGGGCGCCAAAACCATATCGATTTTCCCGCCATCTCGCAAATATTAAACCCCAAATCGATCACTCAGCTTCGCAAAAAAACCCTAAATTACCAAAAAAAAAACAAAAATGCCCGGCGATAATCCGACGGAGAGTGGCCGAAAAAGAAGCCGAGGCGCGGAGGCAACTACCCGTAAAGAAGCCCTAGAGCGATTGAAAGCGATTCGTCAAGGAGGACTTCGCAACCTAGCCGCTTCAGGCGGCGGCTACGATATCAGAATCGAACAGCCGATCTTCGACACAGTCGACGACGACGAGTACGACGCGATCGTGTCCCGGCGGCGCGAGGAGGCTCGCGGATTCGTAGTCGACGACGGTGAAGAAGGAGATCTAGGTTACGGCGACGAAGGTGAAGAAGAGGATTTCACCAAGCCTAGTGGACCAGATTCGACTGATGAATCTGACGACGGTGGGGGATTTAGTGGGAGATTGAGGAAGAAGAAAGGTGAGAAGAAGAAAGGGAAGGAGCAACAGCCTCAGGTTAAGAAGGTGAATCCGTCTCTTAAGGCTGCGGCGACTATTACAGGTGAAGGGAGACTCTCTTCTATGTTTACGTCTTCGAGTTTTAAGAAGGGGAAAGAGACTGATAAGGTGAAATGTGAGAGTATTCTTGATGAGGTTTTAGCTGAGGTGACTCCTGATGATTTAGATAGAGAAAGGTTTAGGAGAAGGAAGCAACCAGCTACAGTTCCAGCTATGTTCTCTAGGAATAAGAATCAGGTTTCTGTTACCTCCAGCAAGGCAATGCAGGATTCAGAACCGATTAGTGATCGTGTTTTTATGGAGAAGGAGTTGATGAAAGAGATGAAAGAAGAAGTTGTGACAGAATCTGAAGTCACTGCTCCGAATGATTCTGAGAATGTGGAGGTACCTGGAAGTGATGTTGTTGTAGAGGATGTATCTAACAATGTGAGACAAAGTGAAGTGAAGGTTGAGTCAGGGGTGAAAGAGGTGTTTACATTGAATGCAACAGTTGATACGAAAGAGAAGGATTCGGCTTTAAGCGCCACTGCTGGTTGGAAGGAAGCGATGGGCAAAGGTGGAACTGAGAATGGGGTTACACTTGGTTCTAATTCTGAAGGGCAAACGGAATTTGATTTGGATGCTGATGGATCACTACGTTTTTATATTCTCGACGCTTACGAGGAGGCGTTTGGTGCGAGTATGGGGACAATATATTTGTTTGGGAAGGTGAGTCTCTTTGGATTTTTTTTCACTCATGTTTCTTCTGCTTTAAAGTTTAAATCTAGAGAGTTGAGTTGGATGTTATGTGTGTACAATTCAGGTTAAGATGGGAGATACGTACAAGAGTTGCTCTGTAGTAGTTAAGAATATTCAGAGATGTGTTTATGCCATTCCCAATGATTCCGTGTTTCCTTCCCATGAAATAATCACGCTTGAGCAAGAGGTGAAAGACTCGAAACTTTCTCCTGAATCCTTCCGGGGGAAGTTACATGTGAGTTTGACTACTGTGTTACATGCTAGGAAGAATCAAGTATCATTTTCTCTATTATTTATTGTTTTTACCCTTGTCTTCTCAGGAAATGGCATCAAATTTGAAGAAAGAAATTTCTCAGCAGTTGTTACAACTCAATGTTTCCAGTTATAGCATGGCACTTGTCAAGGTTTGAGTATTTACTTACTTCTCATGTATTTTAGCAGTAATTGACTCTATTCTACTCTCCATGGACGAATATCAGAGAAACTATGCATTTGAGAGGCCTGATGTTCCTGTTGGCGAACAATATGTCTTGAAGATAAATTATCCATTTAAGGTACATTTCATCTTTGAGTCAAACTAAAAGTTCTCTTTTATCTTCATTTTAGTGAACTTTGGTACATCTCAACACCATGACATCTTGTCTTTTTTTTTTCTTCTTCATAGGATCCTCCACTTCCAGAAGACCTTAAAGGGGAGTCTTTTAGCGCTGTCCTTGGCTCTCACACCAGGTTTAAGCTTTATTTCATTCCCTTTCTCTGTATTTGAAGTCGATCAGCTAAGTTTGCATCTACTGGTCTTTTGCACGCTTTTTAGTTAATGTGTGCCGCTATGTCAAAAATTTAGTGCGGTGCAAACTTTCTCTGCTTATTCATTTAATTCATATGCAGTGCGTTGGAGCTTTTTATCCTTAAAAGGAAGATCATGGGACCGTCTTGGCTCAAAATTTCAAACTTTTCTACCAATTCACCCTCTCAACGAGTAAGGCCTTGAAAAAAATACCATAACCATCTTACTGCTGATTTTTGTTCTGTATATCTCCAATAATGAGGGATTGACACTTGTGCAGGTGAGCTGGTGCAAGTTTGAGGTTACTGTTGAATCTCCCAAGGTTATCACTGTTTTGGTTTCGGGGGAAAAAGTTGTTCATCCTCCTGCTGTAGTTACAGCCATAAATTTAAAGACTATAGTCAATGCAAAGCAGAACATCAGCGAAATTGTTTCTGCGTCTGTTCTCTGCTTTCACAACGCCAAGGTTTGTTCTAGAACATTTTACCAATGCTTTATCCGTTGTTTCTCTTTGTGAAGAATATGGATGTGCTGCTCCACCTCTATGTTTATACCACAATATTCTTAGTATGATCAATTTATCATGACATTACCATTCACCAATAGTTATTTGTATTAAGCTGGTTTGTAACGACTTCTCTTGCTCAAATGACACTATTATGTCGACATGAGTAGCTTGACATTTGATGCTCCTTGGTCTTTCAGATTGATGTTCCAATGCCAGGTCCAGAAAGAAAGAGGTCTGGTATTCTGAGTCATTTCACTGTTGTTAGGAATCCTGAAGGAACCGGTTACCCAATTGGTTGGAAAAAAGAAGTGGCTGACAGAAATTCAAAGAACGGCTGCAGTGTTTTAAGTTTTGAAAATAGGTATTTTACAGTTTTGTTTCTCTGTAGGGTGTGCTCATGTTCCATATATATCTTCAGCAACTGACGTTGCTTCATCCAACATTTTTTTTCCTTTTCTTACTGCAGTGAAAGAGCATTGCTGAATCGACTGTTTCTGGAGCTGAATAAATTGGACAGTGATGTTCTTGTGGGACATAATATATCAGGTTTTGATCTGGATGTCCTTCTCCAAAGAGCCCAGGTAAAGCAAATACCCTTTTACTAATAAAGCTGCGAGTTTCTTTTTTTTTCTCCCTACAAATGTGCTTTTTCATTTACACTCCGAGGAATTAAAACGTGGTGGAGGACGTGATTCTGTATTACTCATCATCTGAACAGTAGCTCTTTTTCTGAATACTGTATGGTTACTGTGCAGGCTTGCAAAGTTTTGAGTAGCATGTGGTCGAAAATTGGCCGTCTCAAACGCTCTTCCATGCCTAAGATTAAAGGGAATTTTGGGCACGGAGCTTCACCAGGGCTCATGTCTTGCGTTGCTGGAAGACTATTGTGTGATACAGATCTATGTTCTCGCGACTTGTTGTCGAAGGAGGTATGATGCTCAACTCTTACACGCGATGCGCTGAAGCTTACTTCCTAGCTTATAAGCTGCTGGTTGTTGCAGGTCAGTTTTTCGTTAACAGATCTTTCAAAGACACAGCTAAACCGGGACAGAAAAGAGATATCGCCTAATGACATTCCCAAAATGTTTCAGTCATCTAAAACACTTGTGGATCTTGTAAGTTCTTCAATTAGTCCACTCATAGTTGTTTATATGCATATGAGCTGTAACTACTTGACTGATGACGATAGCTTATGATTAATTACAAACGAAATAATCCAGTCATACGTCGAAACAAAGGAATTGCAGATAAACATCAATTGACGTAGGTTGATGAGTGATGACTGCATCTTAATTGCTTTCTTGTTATAACATTTTGCCTTTCTTCGCTTCAGATTGAATGTGGTGAGACAGATGCGTGGTTATCCATGGAGCTCATGTTTCATCTAAGTGTTCTTCCACTCACTCTCCAGCTATCTAACATAAGTGGCAATCTTTGGGGGAAAACTCTTCAGGTAATGACTCCTGTTTAAGCTCTCCTTTCTCTATGTGCTGGACACTCATGTTATTTTTTTGGTTCATGACCAGGGAGCCAGGGCGCAAAGAATTGAATACTACTTACTACATACATTCCACTCAAAAAAGTACATCCTCCCAGACAAACTTTCACAACGTATGAAGGATATGAAGTCACAAAAAAGAAGAATGAATCATGGTCCGGAGGATCACAATGTTGATGAATTGGATGCTGACCAGGTTTTGGAAAATGATCCGTCTAAGGGTAGCAAAACAAAGAAGGGTCCAGCCTACGCTGGTGGACTGGTCTTGGAGCCAAAAAAAGGCTTATATGACAAATATGTTTTGCTTCTTGATTTCAATAGTCTCTACCCGTCTATTATACAGGTTAGCAGACTGTTTTCCATTTTCAAGCCTTGGTTTGCTTTTTCCTTTGATTTGTATATAACGGTCATATGGTAATTTAGGAATATAATATCTGTTTCACAACCATACCACGATCAGAAGACGGAATTCCTCGTTTACCGTCGACTCAGACACCTGGAATTCTTCCAAAGGTATATTCAACAAAAGTAATAGTTTGCCTCGTTTTCGCTTAAGATGTATGTGGAAAATCCTCAAATTAATTCGACCCAGCTCTTCAGTATTGTATTAGTGATTGCTGCGTTCTGTAGTGCAACTAAACTAACCCGTAGTTCAACATAACAAACCTTGACACCATCTTCTAAACTATAGCTCTATGCATTTGTTGGTACCGTACCACTCTGATTTTCTCTGTTGTTTTGTTATGCCCAGTATAATAAAAATTAGATAATAATTTATATGTCTTTGTTTCAGTTGATGGAACATTTGGTCAGTATAAGGAAAAGCGTCAAACTAAAGATGACAAAGGAAACAGGTCTCAAATACCGGGAGCTTGACATTCGGCAGCAAGCAATAAAGCTCACAGCCAATAGGTTCGTATTTACGATTTTAAGTATGTTGGCGATACATTCACCCCATTTTTATTAATGTTTTTTCTGTTCATTCTAAACACAGTATGTATGGATGTCTGGGGTTTTACAATTCAAGATTCTACGCTAAACCTTTAGCCGAGCTCATAACACTGCAAGTAAGTTATGCTCTCTGTTTTCTAGTTACAAAATTATCTTTATTTTTCTCTCTATTCTCTTGTGATCCGTTTAATTCCCTAACATTACAGGGAAGGGAGATCCTGCAAAGAACCGTGGATCTTGTCCAGAATCATTTAAACCTAGAGGTATTTCCTGTACTTTGAGTCCAACGAAATGCATTTCAGTAGATAATGGATGTAATGTATCCACATTTCTATTCATCAGTTGTGGAACTGAACATCTTGCTATTACGCAGGTGATTTACGGTGACACAGATTCAATCATGATTCACAGTGGACTAGATGATATCGAAAGGGTGAAAGCCATAAAAACAAAAGTCATCCAGGAGGTAGGTTGTTTATACTTAAATCGGTATAAATGTTCTCGTGGAGCAAATTATAGACAAATTACTGTAAAAAAGCAGACATTTGATTTGGTCTCACTTTTGCGCTTTCGGTTTCTAGGTCAATAAGAAGTATAGATGTCTGAAAATTGACTGTGATGGCATATATAAGAGGATGCTTCTTCTTAAGAAAAAGAAATATGCTGCCGTCAAGTTGGAGTTCAAGGATGGGAAGATTTGCGAGGTAAGATTTAACTGCACATTCTGGCCACCTTTTCTTATAGAAAATCTTTGGGTACTATATGATTTCTCAATGCAGGACATTGAAAGAAAAGGTTTGGACATTGTACGTCGAGATTGGAGCTTACTTTCCAAGGAAATTGGAGATTTATGCTTGGCTAAGATCTTGTCCGGAGGGTATGTTCTAAACATTAAGCAAAAAACGTTATTTTTACTTTCTCATGCAAAGAACAACAAGAGTCTTGTCTTCTTTGCAGGTCATGTGAGGATGTTGTTGAAGCAATTCATAACGAGCTTATGAAGGTAATTTTTGTTAACCTCCATTTATTAACCTTTGTTAATTAGTGTACTCTTCTTTATCATCATACATGTATGCTTTGTCCACTCAACAGATAAAAGAGGAAATGAGAAATGGGCAAGTTGCACTTGAGAAGTATGTCATCACCAAATCACTGACCAAGTCACCTGAAGCTTATCCAGATCCTAAAAGCCAACCACACGTTCAAGTGAGTATAAGAGCTATTATTTGCATTATTGTTCACCGAATTATGCTGAAAAGTTTATACTTTTCATATTTCTCACTGAACTTTGATTCTGCGGTTGAACCCTTTTTTCTCAGGTCGCAGTCAGAATGAGACAACATGGTTATAAAGAAGGTTTCAATGCTAAGGATACTGTACCATATATAATCTGCTATGAACAGGTTCTCAGCACTGAAGACCAGCTTAATACAATCCGAACCAAATCGTCTTTCTACTAAATCTTTTACCTTTTCTTTTTGCAGGGTAATACTAGCTCTGCGAGCTCAGCAGGGATTGCCGAACGTGCTAGGCATCCTGATGAGGTGAAATCAAAAGACAGCAGATGGATGGTTGACATAGATTATTACTTGGCACAGCAGATTCATCCTGTTGTGTCTCGTTTATGCGCAGAGATTCAGGGCACAAGTCCTGAGAGATTAGCCGAGTGTTTAGGACTTGACCCATCAAAGGTAAAACAACTTTCATTTAAGCTTTTTCTTCAGTTCCATCATGATGATTCTCAGTTCTGATAAATTGTTGTAAAAAATGTTTAATATAGTATCGAAGCCGATCAAACGATGCTACGGGTAGTGATCCTTCTACATCCCTCTTGTTTGCTACAAGCGATGAAGAAAAGTAATGATATCTTACCTCATTTTTAATTCGCTGTCATGGTTCCTCCCTATGATATATTTTCTCCAGGATTTGCGATATTACGTTTTCTCAAGGTCTGCTAAAACGTAATTTACATGTAAAAAACGCAGATACAAAGGCTGTGAACCGTTAGCACTAGCATGCCCCAGCTGCTCTGCTTCTTTCAACTGTCCATCTATTATTAGCTCAGTTTGCGCCTCGATCAGTAAAAAATCGGAAACAGAGGAATCTGATTCTACATTCTGGCTTAAGCTGCAATGCCCGAAATGTGAGCCCGAAGGTGGCACGGGAAGAATATCCCCTGCAATGATAGCTAACCAGGTAGATAAGCTTTGCTGAAAAATATCTTAATTTATATGTTTCTCAAAAGTAAACAACTGTGTATCCTGTAGAACAAAGGACTTGGCAATTAACTTGTTATAATGCATTCCAGGTGAAAAGGAAGATCGATGGGTTTGTGACGATGTACTACAAAGGCACAATGATGGTACATAAAAAACCTTCTCACTTGCATCCTTTATTTATCATAATAATTCTGAACAACTGTCATTATTAAATCAGGCTTATGAATTTTAGTTTGTACATTTTGGCTTCGACAGTGTGACGATGAGTCCTGCAAGCACACGACTCGCAGCCCCAACTTCCGTCTTCTTGGTGACCGTGAACGGGGAACAGTTTGTCCAAACTATCCTAACTGTAATGGAACCCTCTTAAGAAAGGTATATTCCCTCATCCACTAGTAAGATCTTTTTTGTTGCTTCATAGAACAACTTTTTAACTCTTAAGCCTCGTCTTATTTACACAGTACACTGAAGCAGACTTGTACAAGCAGCTATCATACTTCTGCCACATATTAGACACACAATGCACTCTAGAAAAGGTTTCTACTTAACAATCTTCTTATATTATCACATCAAATTTGTGTTGTTTAGATCCCTGATAATCTCTCTGGCATTTAATAAAAAAAAAGCAGATGGATGTTGGTGTCAAAATTCAAGTAGAGAAAGCAATGGCAAAGATAAGACCTGCGGTTGAGTCAGCAGCATCCATGGCTCGAAGTATCCGAGACCGGTGCGCTTACGGATGGGTGCAACTCACAGACATAGCCATTTGATAATTGTAATAACCATCTCATGTAGTTAAATTTATGTCATTTTTTTACTGACATCATTATAATCAAGCTACTCAGTTTTCTTCAGTCATAAAGCTTATTAGCATAACACTTTAAATTACAACAAGTACTAGACACTACAAATCATTTTCTACTTATGTTTCCGTGGAGAGTAAATCTGACTTTGGATCATTTCACTGTCTGAACGTTGTCTTCAAAGCAGAGTAGTTGTGGGAAAGCACATTTCCCGAGTGAGAGCCACCAAGCAGAGTCTCAAGGTTTAGTTCTTGTTCTAAGTTTCCATTGATCCTTGTCTGCGTAGGTGGTAGAACTGGTGGTAATCGCAGATGATTTGGGGCTAAACCATTCATAGCGGCTAAAGTCTGCAGTTGTTAAGTTAATCAGATGTTTGGTTTTACAAAATTAGACTTCGATAGTTTATGATCTTAGCAACAAAATGAAAAAAAAAACCTGAAACTGAAGTTGAAGCTGTTTCAGATATTCAATAGCTTCATCAAGCATTGATGCCTTATCTGTCTGCAAAACATATAAACAAAACAGTCTTTCTCAAGACACTGAGTTCTGAAAGATAATGATTCGAACTTGCTATTTTACCTTGTTGGAATTGGGAATCAGTTTCTGCAAAGCTTTCATTTTCTCGTTGATCTTGCTCCTCCTCCTCTGCAATATTTCCAGTTTCTTTTATTATCTCTAGTTAATTTTTTATTTTTTTAATTCAAATCAAGAATCTTAAAAGGATAAAGACAAAACCTTTTCAGACAAGTTGTGGAACTGTGCATCAATGTTTCTCTTCAACGAATTTCGCTGTCTATCTCCATTTCTCTTCAGTGTTATTGTTTTACCATTACAAAGCAAAAAACAACAACTAAGTTTTTTTTTTTTAAATCAAAGCGAGTTTTCAACTTTCACGGTAACTAACATTATTAAGCTTACCTTGTTTTCGAAAACACATCTGCCTTCCCCAGTTTCAGCGCCCGCACAAGCGGCGTAAGAAACCGCTCCGCCGGGTACGATGGGGAAGGTTCGGTTGAACATCTCAGCGGAGGAAACGATTTTCTCCGGTGAGGAAGAAGACTGAGCTGTTGGAGCACGGGACAGTACCTGCCGGAGAATGCTCGAGAGTTCGTCTGAAGAAGATGGAGCAGGAAGACGATCACAGTCGTCGGAATTACCCATCTGCCTCTCTCTCTCTCTCTCTGTGAATTCTTCACATCACTTTTGTTACTGAGGCATTTCATAATAAATAGGCGGGGAGGTAGGCGCGTGATATACAAGCGCGTGACAAATTATTCTAGACATAATCTGGTGCCATTAGTGATAATCTGTATCAACTTTTTTTTTTTTATGAATTTAATAATTTGTTTTGTCCTGGATTACAAAGCAGATTCATCACCAAATGTAATCATAAGTATTTAGGAGCGCGTGGCAAATTACTAAGATATAATCTGTATATGAATATTCTAATTTAGTGATAATTTGTAATTAGTTAAGAACTTTTTTATGAATTCATAATTTATTTTGTCCTGGATTACAAAGCAGATTCATCACCAAATGTAATCATAAGTTTTTTCTTCCAAACAACCGGTAATTAAATTGCATATAATTTTAGTTTTCTCCTCTTTTTTCCCCATGCCATAAATTAAAATAGAACAGTGATGGGTGGAGATATCAGTAAAGAACGGTTGATGGATATTTTTTTCTGAAAGTCATAAATAATACTGTAATTAATTATTATGACTAAACATAAAAAAAGACAATCACTTCATAGGTAAGGTCTTGCAAGAGTTTCACCATTTTTGGCATATTACAATTAAAAAGAAATTTCGTTTTTTTTTTCTCATAAAGAAGGTGTTATCTTGATTTTTTTGAAAAAGGTATTGAGTAATTGAAAACTTTTCTTTTGAGAAAAAATATAATAAATTCCGGTAATTTTTTTTTTCTTTTCGTTATGACATTTCCATATTATTCATTGAACAACGGAATAACGATCGAAACTTTAACAAAAGAAAAACCAATTTTGGCAATTCTAACATATACAACCAGCTTCATGAAACAATTAAAAGAGCTTGTTGCTTGCATAGAGGACACATATTCTTGACCATTAGCCAATTCTTGATACAGTCGAAGTGAAAATCATGCCCACATGCCAGTTTAGAAGCCTCATCATTGCACTTAAGTTTATCAAGACATATCACACATCTCTCCGCTTGACCAGAACCATCTTCATAAATTCTTCGGTTCAGATTCCCATCAATGATATCAACGTCTAAACCATTGCAGACATCTCCTGTTTGCTCACTAATGCGCAATAATTCCTAAAAAATGCACTAATAAACTTTTGAATATATATAGTTACAGAGTTTAAATCTACTACCACCTTATTCAAATGCATATCCACTGATTTTTTTTTTACAAATGCAATATAACCAATTAAATACCAATTCGATGTTACATAGAATATATCTTTTTATTTTATTTTTCCTTAATTTTTATTTTTCTTTTATAGATTTTTCTATGTTTTACATATTTTTTTCCTTTTAAAAAATATTTTTTTCACTATACCTCATTCGTGAAGTTGAGTTCTTCTATTTCAAATGGTTCATTGGCCAGTGTCTGTGACCACTGTTCGAATGTTTCTTCCTGTACAATTTCAATAAGTCTATATTATTTATCCAAAAGAATAATATTTCTCAAAAAAAAAACTTGTAGAAAGTAGATTATTACCATTTGATGTACCATTGAAAATGGATTAGGCTCTATTATCAGACCAGCATGATTCATCTCAACCATTGGATGTAGTAAGTTGGCATTAACATCAACGCTCAGATAAGTGTCCCACCTCTGCCAATCATCTCCATATAATAACTGTTGGAAGCTGAATGGAGTGTCCGATTCCCGAATATCATCCATGTTTTGGTCCATATCTAATTCTGAATGAACAACGATTATCTGATCCAAATTATAAGAAGGCCTAAGAGAATGTTTTGATGAACAAACACTTAAATATAGCTTATAAACACACTTTGTTTTCAACTGAAGAATATTTTGTGTATCACAAGAAGATTTCGACGCACTCTATGTCATTGTAATTTATGAGAGAAGTAAAAGATGTATATATATGAGTAACCATGGTTAAAGCATTTAGCTACTTTAAGCAAATGATATATAACTATAAATGCTGGTATAAGAAATTACACACTTTTAACCAAAAAAAAAAAAGAAATTACACTTGTTGGTTTTTATTGGAGTCCAAAAATGCTAACAAACAAAATAACATATAGAGACAGCTAACAAAAATGGAATTACCACTGGATTCTAGATATTTATATCCTGTTTTAGCTATGTATTTTATTAAATGGAAATGTTTTTTTTGTAGAATATTTTCAAGTTCTTTATTTCCTTAATAAATGATATAGTTTGGATTACTTGATAGAAAATATCAATTCTATAAAAGTATTAAAATAATAAACGTATGGCTTAACATGGTCTTTGATCATGATAGCTACTGCATACACAAAGTTCACAGAAGAAAAAAAAAACTCATTTGGTTTCGTTTGATGATTTGCAATACTGACAATGGGCAAATGGGTAAGTACAAAGGCTTTAATTGGTAACCATCAAAGTAATATAAGGAATAAGAAATAAAAGAATGAAAAGGAAAAAAATAAATGGAAAAATTAACTTGTATTCGTTGGTTGGTTTCGTTTCACGTATTGCGAAAGTCTAACTTGTCTGAAAAACGCATGCATGGTTGTGGAAATACAAAACAGTCGAGTATGTTTCGATACTGAGAAAAAAATATATGTGCATAATACATGACTTAATGGTTAATTAGCCTGCTTATAAGTTCAGGGATAATTTCCAAAAACGTATGAATTTTGGTGCAGGGAATATCAGTTTATGTGGTTGTTTAGATTCTATATTGAATATGGGCAAAAACCCTGAGCCCTCTTCGATTAGCTAGGCAGTAGTGAGAGTTGCTAGTAATGTTGCCAATTTCTTATTGAATCGTGTATCTAACTCTTTTTTTTTCATGTAAAGAAGTAATAACATGCGGTCTCCTTCATGTATCAAGAGTAATTACATTTTTAAGATCTTCAGAAATTAATAAAAATTATTTATTTTGAGATTAATTAATACCAATTCTTAACTCAAAAGTCATTAATTTTAGGGATTTATATTTGGGTTGAAGAGTTTTATGTGTTTCTTGTTAGCTAGGGTTCTAAATCTTTAATGAATAATGAATGATCTTCTTTTTTTTTTTTTGATCAAAATGAATGAACTTCAAATTTCAATAATACTACATAAGAGGATACAAAAACATGTGTCCCCACGCATGTGACCACCGTTGGCCACAAAGTAGAAAACATATATCAAATAATAATCTAAGGTCAAGACAATGTCATGCAGTCACTAGAAATTTGCACACATTGATTTTTTTTTGTTAACTAGGAGTTATCCGGATCTTACACCCGACTGAGCCAGACACAAATGATAGATGATATAATCTAGCAAATTTACTACAACAAAGATACTCCCTTGATTATTGGTAGAAAGATACATATTTCTTGTTAGAGTATCTCCAATTCCACTTCATAATTTTACTACAAAATGGAGTGAGAAATGAAGTAGTGAACAAATAAAAAAATCATTACTTCATTTAATCATTTTTTTGTTTGTTCATTACTTCGTTTTCCATTCCATTTTACAGTAAATTATGGATTAGAGTTGGAGATGATCTTATAAACCTTCCAATAATATAATAATCTGATCAAGAAAATCATCGGTTTAACCGGAAAAGCCATCACCGAAAAAGCCACAAAAAAATAAAAAAAAACCATTCTGTCAAAAACTGTTTCTTTTAATTCTCCACGTAAATAGAAATGACTCTAAACATACGTTGACTACTATCTGATAAAATCTAAAAAAGATTCATTGACTAGGTTAGATAATGTTTTGTTGATTATTTCAAGATCACCGTTTCCACAAGTTATACTATACATACGTATATACTCAGTTACTCACACTATGAATGGTTGGTATACAACATTCGAAAACTGCAGTCAATATGCATCATCATTGATGTTAAAGACTGTATTTTCGCTATAATTGAACTACTTTTTGACGTGGCTTATTTAACTGAGAGTTTTATATCAGTCTGGTGGGAAAAAAAAGTTCAACCTTGTCGAAGAAAACAAACAAACTAAAAAAAAAGAAAGCTAAACTTTATCTTTATTAATAATCCATCTCTCTCTCTCTCTCTCACTCTAAACGAGACAATTACGTTTGGTTAACAAATCAATGAACCCCGCGTTTTATTACCTAAAACATCTTTTGTCTCTGTCTTTAAAACCCCAAATCAACAGTAGATCGAAACACCATTCACACAGATTCCTCTCTCTCTATCTCTCTAGGGAGCGATGTCGGCGTGCTCCAACAGCTTAAGCAGAGCCGTAACACTCTCTCTTCTCCTTCTACTTCCCTTCTTCTTCTCTCTTTCATCTGCTTGCTCTAATGGGAACTGCCAGGTTCTTGATTGATCCTTCTTTTGCTTCTTTATTGTTTTCAAATTGAGTCTTTAAATCTAATAAAGGGATCTTGATATGGTTTTGCTCAGATGCTGGAATCATGCTCCTCAGCCACTGACTGTGTCCCAGGTTTATACTGTGGGAACTGTCCTGCTGTTGGTAGAACCAAACCCATTTGCACTAGAGGCCAAGCTACAATCCCAACTTCCATTGTAAGATTTTCTTCTAGATTTGCCTGTTTGTGCATTAAAAGTTTCCAACTTTGAAGATGGGTTTGTCTAAAGATGTGTTCTTTAAACTGTGTAGATCAATGGATTGCCTTTTAACAAGTATACATGGTTAATGACTCATAATGCTTTTAGCAATGCAAATCAACCACCTTTGCCTGGTGTCCAGAGACTTACATTCTTCAATCAAGAAGACACTGTTACTAATCAGCTTAGAGTGAGTAATAATGTCTCTTCCCCTATTTCTTATTTTGGAATCCTCCTTTTTTTTTTTGAAATGTGGTTTTTTGTTTGCTGTAGAATGGAGTTAGAGGACTAATGTTGGATATGTATGACTTCAATGATGATATCTGGCTTTGTCATTCTCTTAGAGGACAATGCTTCAACTTCACCGCCTTTGTAAAAACTTATCTTCAACTTACTATATTTGTATCCAAAGTGGATTGGTAAATGTGAAACTTTTTTATCCTTGTTTTTGGTTTCCTTATCAGCAACCTGCGATAAACACATTGAAGGAAGTTGAGGCATTCTTGACTCAGAACCCAACAGAGATTGTTACCATCATTATTGAGGACTATGTGCACAGACCTAAAGGCTTATCAACTCTATTTGCTAACGCTGGTTTGGACAAGTACTGGTTTCCTGTTTCCAAAATGCCCAAAAGGGGAGAAGATTGGCCTACTGTGACTGACATGGTGCAAGAGAATCACAGGCTCTTGGTTTTCACTTCTGTTGCTGCAAAAGAAGATGAAGAAGGTGTTGCTTATCAGTGGAGATACATTGTTGAAAATGAATGTGAGTAAGTTTGTATCTTTTTTGTTTTTTTTTTTGGGGGAAGTGTCTTTGAATAATCTTTCTTTTGCTATGGTTTGTGTTAAAAGCTGGAGATCCAGGTGTGAAGAGAGGTTCTTGTCCGAACAGAAAAGAATCAGAACCTTTGAATTCAAAAAGCTCATCTCTTTTCTTGATGAATTACTTCCCAACGTTTCCGGTAGAGAAAGATGCTTGCAAGGAACACTCAGCTCCACTCGCTGAGATGGTTGGGACTTGTCTCAAGTCAGGAGGGAATAGAATGCCAAATTTTCTTGCTGTTAACTTCTACATGGTACTTACTGAATCAATTTTTAAAACTTAGAATATTAAATTTTCTTTGAGTTTTATTAAACAAAACCATTGCAGAGAAGTGATGGAGGAGGTGTTTTCGAAGTTCTAGACAGAATGAATGGACCTGTTATTTGCGGTTGTGAAACTCTTGCTGCCTGCCAGGTAATAATATATAGCTTCTCTACTCTTTACAAAGCCTAAACCATCTAAAATAACAATGGGTTTTATTTGATGTTGCAGCCAGAAGCAGCTTTTGGTTCATGCAAAAATGTTACTCTTCAGACAAGAGCCCCAGACATGGATTCAACGGCCGGAACCTACTCAGGTTCAGTTCAGTTCTCAAGATCCTTAGCTGTTGCCTATTCACCAAACACCATTTTAGTCATGTGCTTCTCATGGCTTCCATTGCTGGTGTTTTTACTATGACACAACCAACCAATTCCACTTCTAGAGATGAATGAGAGAGATCCTTAAGTTGAGGATAAGTTAGAAAGAAAGAGAGAGTTTTCTGATTTGATTCTTGTTATTGTTAGACTGCAGATTTATAGTCAGAAAGCGTGTGTGTATGTGTGTCTTCAGGCTTCAGCTTCTGTTGAATCTTTTATGCAACAACTTATATATAAATATATAGAATCTTTACTACTTCAATAGAATCTTTACTAAATAATTTAATATAATCTTATTGATGAGAGAACACATAAGAGAGAAGGAGATTCCAAATTTTTTTAATGAATAACTATACACAAAAGCAAAGCAACAAAAGACTAGACAGCATGCAACAAAGGTGGTGGATTCTGAGCATTGAGGAGAAGTTGAATGGGTTTGATCTGAAGGGCAGGACTGATGGTAAGTAAAGCAATGAAGCAATCCACAGGAACTCTAGTTCCCCATAAGTTGATTGATTCTAGTTTTCTGCATTTGTTGACAAGAACAAGAAGGCCTCTCTCTGTCACATGGCGGCAACACCACATACTAATTGTCTGCATAACACATAAAATAACCAGTTTTATTTATGGCTTCAGACAAAGAAAATAGACATATTGATGGTTTACCTTGAGATGATGGCAGTGTTCTGCAATAGCGAAAAGGGACTCATCGGTGATGAATGTTCCTCCAATGTTCAGATGTTGCAAGGAAGATGTTCTTGATACCTATCAAATAATTAAAAAAATAGATTCTTTGAGTGATAAATGAATATTCAAGATTCCGATTTAAGGCATTTACATTACCAGTTGAACAACACCAGAATCAGTAATGGCAGTCATGCCCCATAAAGAGATTGAGCTTAAATTGGCAACACATCTAGCAGAAGCTATTTGGTAAAGACCATTATCAGTTACATGACAACCCCATCTGCTTTTAGATCTGCAAAACACACACACACACATAAACATTAACTAAACATGAAGAAACAGAGTATTGCATTGACCAAGTCAATGTCCTCAAAACCCTGAAGGTAAAGCTGGAAACTTGACCAGAGTTTAAAACAAACCCACCAATGTTTAGACTCTAAATATGGATACAAATCTTCCATTGAATGTCAAATCAAGATCGCAAACTACAACAACAAGCACATAGAAAGAGAGATTACATGTCGAGTTCTTTGAGATTGTAAGCAAGATGTACAAGTCTAGAAGTGGAATCATCGTCCATTTTCCAACCAGCAAAGCTCAGAGACTCTCTTCTAGCCATAGATTGGTTCACAGCTTTTCTCCATTTCTTACAGACACCACTTGCCCTACAAAACCTCATCAAAAACTTCAATTTGTTTCTTTTAATGAAAAAAAAAATCAACAGTTTGTAAGGATCATGAAACACTTACTGTGCCAATTCGGTGAAAGAGGTAACCAGAGAAAATATATAAGCAAGGAGGTGTAACGGTAACCGATCAATCTCTGCTTCTTCATCCATGACTTTTAACTTTTTAAGAACTTGTTGAATGATTTATATGCAGAAACCCTTTTATATATATATTCACAAGACAAGATTTGTATTTATGCAACACTCTTCAATAATTTGCAGAGATGGAAGAAGAAGATGTTGTCATTTTCATTGTATTGAGTACAGAAGATGTGGTCATCGTTCCGTCATACTTTTGAATCCTTCTTTGATTTAATTTAATGAGCTTATATTATTACAAAAGGTCCAATATTTTGCGTGGGAAAGTACTCTCTAGACTCCGTCTTTCTCTTTTATACGCCACGTGGCACGTGCCACACCTTAAGCCAAAATCAATTCCTTAAATTTCACACATAAAATACTTTTTTTTTTTTTTTAAAATGTTCACCAGAGAAATAATAAATAGATACGATTGCTATAATTTGACGTGACGTTGTCATCTGTATATTAATCTTCTTGCATATTTTTTGTATGTTTCGTGTTCAAAGGACTTATGCAAGAAGTACACGGTTGGTCAATATAGTTTATTTACATGTAAATTTGATTCATTAGTTAACATAACCAGAAGAATAAGAAAATCAGCTAGAATAGACTTTTACTTTAGCTCACAAAGATTCTTTTAAACTTTCTTCAAAATTTTCAACATTTGTAAAAATTGGCCTGGCTGGCCTATATCATGATTTGAAGCCCATGACATGATCAATTTCAATCCACATAAAAGAATTGCGAGTTTGCCACTTAACTCTAATTCCCGGTTAGGCTCCAGCTATAAACTACCGGTACGATTTCAATTCTACTGATAAATTTGGTTAAATCTTGAAGCGAACAACACAAACAAACAAACAAACATACAACACAATACACCTTTTCTTCCTTTATTCAAGAAGCGAATTACATTTAATTTCCATTATTTTACTTAAACAACACACGCATACTCTAAAAACTCAGGATCAGTCGATAATTTCTCCAAAACATTAGAAGATAAACAAGTCTGAATCTCAATGTTTCCTTCTTCAATTCCCGGATAAACAATAAGCTTCCCATCGCTAGTATTACCCGGTCCAGCCCTAACCGCAATCGGTTTACCCCAACCGAAATCATTACCATATACATTAAACCAAGGAGAGCTAGCCACAATCACAGAATTACTCACACCCACATGATCCGGTATCTTCGGTTCCTTCACCCAACTCTCAGCGAACACTCTAAATCCCTCATCCGTCTGCAGCCCAACAGTTTTATTAATCTCCAACGCGGCCCAACCCAGCCCATTACCAACCATCTCCCCAGCCGTTGTCGTACACGTAGCAAATCCGACGACGTTTCCAAAACACTCTTTATCAAGCGGAGGGTTTAGTCTCCGTCTCATATCCATCAGTAACTTGCAGTGAACCACTTCCTCCGGATTCAAATCACTGTTTCTGATTATGAACCGCCACATATGAGCTGTAACCGCTTGAAGCGACGAGATTCTCCGATCATCGGAGCTTACCTCTCCGTTAGCTTTCGATTTGAGCTCGGAGATGTTCTTCCTCGTGAATCGGATTACCTTCTCTTGCAACAACGACGAAGAAACAACCGGAGAAGACGACGGTGGTACCGTCTCCGAGATCGGGATTCGAATCGGATGATCAATCCCGTCGAGAAACCAGCCACGGAGGAGCAGAGGCGGGGATAAATTTTTATTCCGGTTAACTCCGGTTAAGCAAATCTCGGACCATGTGTTGAAGAAGCTCCAGAAGGAAGATCCATCCGCAACCATATGGTTATAACCGAACGCGATGAAGACTCCGTCTTTTAACTCCGTTACTTGGAACGTTATTAACGATTCACCGTCACAGCTCTTAACTCCGTTAGCGGGAAAGAAACGGTTCAAGAACTCGGGGACGATACCGTTGACCGGTTTTAGAATATCATTAACCGAGACGGTTTTAGCTGACGCGTGGATGAATTTGACACCTGAACCATCGCAGTTTACAAGGAACGACGCCGTTTCGTCGTTTTCGTTCTCGGTCTTGACTAGTCTGCCCGCGAATGGGTAGAAGATGGTCAACGCAAGGGAGAGAGAGGATTTGAGTTGGGGGATAATATCGGTTTCCGGGTCGGGTTTTGGGAAGAGGAGACCTCTTTGTGGGTATTCTGATCGGAGGAAGAAGAGATCCCATGGAGTTAGATGGATCTTAACCGGTTCTGAATCTGCTCTGTCGGGTCGAACTATGCTTGTAGAGAGCACGACAACATCTGCCATGTCTTGGTTTGTCGTTTTCTATTCTGGAGGTAATTTGATAGAACAGTATTATTACAGGAGTGAGTGACTTGTGTTCTAAAATTTAAATCCCCTTCACACCTAAACACATATCTACCACGTGTTTTAATAACATGGGCCGGTTTGATTGTTTATTGGGTCAGAAATGTCAGGCCCATTATCTGTTTTCATCCAAGTATCTTTTATGGGTTTGTTTGATATTGTCTCAAAGTATTAGTATTCGAATTGATTTATTTGATGGTGTGTTGCAGACAGTTTACCCATTTCTCTGCATTTTCATTAGAGGCAGTAGAAAGAAATGTAATCTGAAAGGTTCATATAATCAAGGGCCCATGGACAGTCCATGCTGCGGTGAAACATTTGTTTTTCCTAAATTTTATAGATCATATAATAGATGCTCCTTTGGTGTAACTATGTTTTTATTTGGTTGAATAAAATTTAAAATTCTTTCAAAAAAAAAATAAAATATAGATCATATAATAAGCTACTTCCAACTACAGAAAAATTATTTTAAAATGTTTGTGGCCATCTGAATTTCATGTGATCAGGTTGATGAATTACAAACAATCCGAAAAGAAGGAAACACACATATTAATTCGATTCAAATTGTTGAACCAAATCATAATCATAGTACCGAAAAGCTATCTATAATATCTATACTATTAAAGTTGAAGTACAAAAATGAACTGTTTGGAAACATGAATATTTTGTTTTCAAAAGTTTGATTGGAAACATGGATAGCATCAAACTTAATGCACTTATTTATTAAATTAAAGATTACTGCGGCCCAAAATACCATTATATATTATTGTTTTGAGTTTTCTATAATTGATATTATTTTAAATCTGAAAATATTTATACATATATATTATTCGTGTTTTAAATGTATTTAGAATAAATCAAAAATAATATATATTTTATTTATATAATTTATATTGACTATTGTTATAAGTTTTTAACAGTGATATACTATCCTCCAATTCTTCATTAAACAACTAATTTAAAAAATTGACTAAATTATTTAGTGTATATAACTTTGCACCAAATTTAACCAAAAAATAACTTTATAAACTATTACTAAAATATTTACAGGTCACAACATTTTACCGACGTCCCTGTTACACAATACAATGATGAAATACAATACTTAAACATTATATTATTACTTAGTAAAATTGGAACCATTAGATTGTAAATTTTGAAATGTTTATATATACCATAAAATAAAGACCCGTCCAATCGGATGGGTTATGATCTAGTTTAAATTAAATTCGAAGATAATAATATAAAATTATTGAATTATATTTTCTATAATTTCTGATGTTTATTTTTTCATTCAAAAATAAAAAAGAAATATTGTTAAATGAGTATTTTTTTATGTTTTATAAATTATATTTTTGTAATCATACTAAAACACAACAAAAAAAATTAAACTTGACTGAATTGAAAACAGACAAAACCGAAATAAACTAAAATGAAGCCAAACTGAACCAAACCAAATGCAAATAAGAATGTTGGTTCAATTCAAAATTAAAGTTTTCTTAGACCTAAATAAACCAAATCGAACTGAATCCAAATCAAACTTGACTTTAAACTGAAAATATCAGCCCTAGTCACATAGAATGATTATTTCGTTACACATAGAGACCATAAAAGTGTAGAACACGCAAAAGCAAAAACTAAGGGTTTTGCTCAGTTATTAATAGGAGAAAAGAGCAAGCATCAAGAGACCCTTGATCCAATTGTTCATTAACACACATACTCCAGAAACTCAACATCCTTGGATAAGTTTACCAGTACTTGAGATGGTAAACAAACTTGTAAATCAAGACTTCCTTCTTCTGCACCCTGAAAAACGACTAGTCTCCCATTGGGATACGGTGGTCCAGCTCGAGCTGTGATCGGTTTACCCCAACCAAAATCGTTGGAGTACAGTTTGAACCAAGGGGAGCTAGTAACAACTAGAGAGTTGCTCCCGAAACGAACTGAATTTTTGTCATTTTTCAACCAATTCTCAGCAAATGCTTTGAATGTTTCATTCTTTTGCAACCCCACCATTTTGTTTATTTGTAGAGCTGCCCAGCCTAGTCCTTGGTCCAGCAGCTCCTCAACTGTTGTTGTGACTATCCCGGTCTGGCACACGTTCCCAAAACACTCTTTCTCCAGCGGTGGGTCTAGCCTGAGTCTCATGTCTGCCGGTACTCTGCAGTGTGTCTCTTCTTCTCGGTTTATGACACTGTTTCTAACCGTTGAACGCCACATGTGTCCCAACACAGCTTGAAGAGAAGAGGTCCTCTTATCCAGGGCTAGATCTGAAATTATGGGGAACATAAACATTTCTTAATAACTTATATAAAACAAATTTTATAATAATTTGAGGGTCTAAGCCTAAATAAAAAATGTCAAAAAAAATTGGGGGTTTGACCCTTCTCTTACCATCAGATCCAGCTTCACTGTTGGCTTTAGCTTTCAGCTTCAAAATATTCTCCTTTGTGAGATGAAACACCTTCTGTTGTAAGTTACTTGTTGTTGAAGTAATGGGTGTAAATTTTGTTTCAGGGTCTGGTATACGAATCGGATAATGGATCCCATTGAGAAACCAACCTGGCAAAATAATTTCCATGGGAGTAGTAGATCCACCACCAGTATCCTTTGAACAAATCTCAGACCATGCATTGATGAACATCCATAATGATTTATCGTCAGCCACGGTATGGTTGTAGCCAAAACCGATGAAAACCCCGTCTTTCATCTCAGTTACTTGAACCATAAGTAACGGGTTTGACTCACCTTGGTAGCTCTTGATTCCGTTTGCAGGGAAGAGACCGTCGTTGGAACCTGAGTATTGGAGAACATCACTGAGCTCGATGTTGAGTGCTGAGGCGTGAACGAACTCCACACCTGAGCCATCACAGTTGACCAGAAACGAGACAGTGCCATCGTCATTCTTTGTCTTGACAAGACGCCCAGCAAAGGGGTAGAAATGGTCGAGGGCAACGGAAAGTGAAGCTTTTAGACGTGAGATTAGATCAAAACTTGGATCAGGTTTGGCAAAGAGAAGACCTCTTTGAAGATAACAAAGGTTGAGAAGAAAGAGATCCCATGGAGTCAGATGGATCTCTTTAGACTGGTTTACATCTCTGCTGGGACGAACGATGCTTCTTGATATCACCACAACATCTTCCATTGCCTCTTTTCTTTGTTCCAAAATGAAATCTGGTGATATATTATCATGATTTGTTTTATTCTCCTTTCTTTTTGTATTAATTGTTTGATTGATTATTGAGACATTGTCTTTTAGGTACACACTGCAAAGTTTTTTTTTTATATGTTTTATTTTTGGTTCAACACGTTACACCACAGAGTGTCTATTATACTATATATCATCGTAAAGTAAATCTTAAAGAGGTATACAATTACCTGCTTCAACATTCGCCATGTCAGAGCTTTGGGACGGATTGCAAGGAATTGTTAGCAATGCTCACAAATCCTCATGGATGGCCAAGCTTTTCGACGGAACTGGAGAGGATCTCGACGTTGAGGATTTGTTTCCCAGACTTTAAGATCACTTATGTTCCTAGATCTCTAAATGTTGTGTCCGATCATTTAGCTAAGACTGCCCGATCCTTTTATCGGGATCTCTTGTATGTTGGTTGTTTTATTCCGATATGGATTCCCAGACCACCTCAAGCTTAAGTAATAGATCAGTCTTTCGTTATAAAAAAAAAGAAAAGAGATATACAATTACAACTGTGAGACTGGAATCGACAGGAGACAGAATTAAAAACAATACTTTTTGTATTTAATTAATTTCTTAACCAAACACTATACAATACATACAATCAATATCCACTACTAGTTTGTCCACTGGTGATCCAGCTATCGGTTTACCCTAGCTGCTGTACACGTCAACCGGTGAGAGTTAGATGTCTGCTAGTACCAGCATAAGCCATTAGTATGTTATCGACTTAAAGATGGGTCAGCAGTGGCATGGATGTACATAGCATATTTATTAACCATAACGTACAACAATTTTCTAAACCCCAAATTATCCATAGCATAAAGATTTAAACCAAACACGCAGAAATGTAACAAGCAAAAAAGTACACAACATTAATTGACTGAACTCTCAAACAAATCCTAAAGGCTCCAAATGAAAGTATTTGTTAACAAAGACAAACAAAACCAATGGAAAATAGAATCATCCCTAGCTAAACCCCGACAAGTAAGAATGAAAACAAACACTTTTTCTTTTAAACACAATAAAGCTCAATCCCCATCATCATTGATAAATTTTAGTATATATAGCATTTATTGGAAAAAACTCGATCTTTTCGTAAGATAAATTAGAAAATATGGTATATTGTTATAATGCATAACTTCATCATTCACTGATATTTTATGAATATTAATGAGGTCCGATACCTTATTTATCCCCATTTCTACAGAAAATACATATTTTATAAGGGTTAGTTCACTGAATTAGGTGAAAAATCAAATTTTCATAGGGATTAACCCACATATTTCAAAGAAAATAAAAATTTGGTAATTTTGTTTTAATGCATATTTTCATCTTTAACTGTTATAGTATAAGTATTAAAGAGGTTTGAGACCATATGTGTTCTCATTTCTCTAAAAAGAGATGTTATAGGGTTAATACACTAATTAGATCATATATAAAAGTTTAAATAAATTATTTGTTAGAAAGTTAGAAATGATGACCATGTACCATGAAAATATGTTTATACTACATTAATTTACATTGAGAGTGTGGTTTGATATTTTTTAAACAACATTAAAGTGTCTAAAACTTATAGAGAGCATTTATTGGAACTTCAATTTTGTTGTAGGGGTTAACCCACATATTTCAAAAAAATTTAAAAAATTGGTAATTTTGTTTTAATGCATATTTGCATCATGTACTGACATAATATGAATATTAAAGAGATTTAAGACCTTATGTTTTCCCATTTATCTAGATAATAGAGATTTTATAGGGATTCATACACTAATTAAATCGTATTTTAAATTTAAATAAATTACTCGTTGGAAAGTTAGAAATGATGACCATGTATCATGAAAATAGACTTAGCCTACATTAATATACATTGAGAGTGTAGTTTGGTATTTTTAACAAAAACTAAATTGTCTAAAAATTATAGATAAAATTTATCGGAAAATTCAATATTTTCATAGGGGTTAACCCACATATTTCAAGAAAAATTAAAAAATATGAAAATTTGGTTTTATGGCATTTTTGCGTCATGGTCCGACATAATATGAATATTAAGGAGGTTTGAGACCTTATGTGTTCCCATTTCTCGAGAATATAAATATTTTATAGGGATTAGTACACTAATTAGATCGTATATGAAGTTTAAATAAATTAAAGGTTGAAAAGTTAGAAATGATGACATGTACCCTGAAAATATGTTTAGTCTACATTAATATACATTGAAAGCATGGTTAGGTACTTTTAAACAACACTAAAGCTTCTAAAAATTATAGATAGCATTTATCAGAAAATTCAATTTCTCCTAGGGGTTAACCCACATATTTCAAGAAAAAATAGAAAATTTGATAATTTCGTTTTAATGCTTATTTGCATCATGAACTGCGATGGTGTGAATATTAAAGAGGTTTGACACCTTATGTGTTCTCATTTCTCTAGAAAATAGATATTTTATGATGATAAGTACACTAATTAGATCGTATATGAAGCTTAAATAAATTACTTGATAGAAAGTTAGAAATGTTGACCATGTACCATGAAAATTTGTTTAACCTATATTAACATACATTGAGAGTGTAGTTTAGTATTTTTAAACTACACTAAAGTGTCTAAAAATTATAGATAGCATTTATCAGAAATTCAATATTTTCATAGGAGTTAATCCAAGAAAAATTAGAAAATTTGGAAATTTTGTTTTAATGCATATTTGCTCATTCTATGACATAGTATGAAGATTAAAGAGGTTTGAAACCTTATGTGTTCCCATTTCTCAAGAAAATAAAGATTTTATAGGGATTAGTACTAAAAATTAGATCGTATATGAAATTTAAATAAATTACTCGTTTGAAAGTTAGAAATGATGACCATGTACCATGAAAATATATTTAGCCTAAATTAAATTACATTGAGAGCATGGTTAGGTATTTTTAAACAACACTAAAGTGTCTAAATATTATAGATAGCATTTATCAGAAAAATCATTTTCCTAGGGGTTAACCCATATATTTCAAAAAAATAGAAAGTTAGTTAATTTTTTTTTAATGCATATTTGCATCATAAACTGTGATAGTATAAATATTAAATAGGTTTGAGACCATATGTGTTCTCATTTCTCTAAAAAATAAAGATATTATAGGGGTTAGTACACTAATAAGATTGTATATGAAGTTTAAATAAATGACTCGTTAGAAAGTTAGAAATGACGACCATGTACTATAAAAATATGTTTTACTACATTATTTTACATTGAGAGTATGTTTTGGTATTTTTAAACAGCATTAAAGTGCTAAAACTTATAGAGAGCATTTATTGGAAATTCAATTTTGTCGTAAGCGTTAACCTACATATTTCACGATAAATTAAAAAATAGGTAATTTTGTTTTAATGCATATTTGAATCATGCACTAACATATTATGAACATTCAAGATGTTTGATACCTTATGCGTTCCCATTTCTCTAAAAAAATAGAAATTATATAGGGGTTCGTCCATTAATTAAATCGTATATGAAGTTTAAATAAATTACTCGTTGGAAAGTTAGAAATGATGATCATGTACCATGAAAATAGGTTTAGCCTAAATTAATATACATTGAGAGTGTAAGTTGGTATTTTTAACAAATACTATATTGTCTAATAATTATAGAAAAAAATTAACAGAAAATTCAATTTTTTCGTAGGGGTTAACCCACATATTTCAATAAAAAATAGAAAATATGGAAATTCTGTTTTAACGCATTTTTGCCTCATGTACTGGCATAGTATGAATATTTAAGAGGTTTGAGACCTTATGTGTTCCCATTTCTCAAGAAAAATTAGAAGACTAATGCATATTTTTTTCGTAGGGGTTAACCAACATATTTCAAGAAAAATTAGAAAAATTGGTAATTTATTTTTAATGCATATTTGCATCATGAACTGTGATAGTATGAATATTAAAGAAGTTTGAGACCTTATGTGTTCACATTTCTCTAGAAAATAGAGATTTTATAGGGATTAGTACATTAATTGGATCGTATATGAAGCTTAAATAATTTACTCGTTGAAAAGTTAGAAATAATGACCTTGAACATGAAAATTTGTTAAGACTAAATTAATATTCATTGAGAGCGTGGTTAGTTATTTTAAACAACACATAAGTGTCTAAAAATCATGGATAACATTTATCTGAAAATTCAATATTTTCCGTAGGGCATCATACTCTGACATAGTATGGGCATCATACTCTGACATAGTATGGGCATCATACTCTGACATAGTATGGGCATCATACTCCCACATATTTCAAGAAAATTGTAAAATTTTGGAAATTTTGTTTTAATGAATATGGGCATCATACTCTGACATAGTATGAAGATTAAAGAGGTTTGAGACCTTATGTGTTCCCATTTCTCAAGAAAATGGAGATTTCATAGGGGTTATTACACTAATTAGATCGTATATGAAGTTTAAATAAATTACTCGTTGGAGAGTTAGAATTGATGATCATGTACCATGAAAATTTGTTTAAACTATATTAACATACATTGAGAGTGTCTAATAATTATAAATAAAATTTATCAGAAAATTCAATATTTTTCGTAGGGGTTAACCCACATATTTCAAGAAAAAATAGATTTTTTGGAAATTTTGTTTTATTGCATATTTGCATCATTCTCTGACATAGTGTGAAGATTAAATAGGTTTGAGACCTTAGGTGTTCCCATTTCTCAAGAAAATGGAGATTTCATAGGGGTTATTACACTAATTAGAATGTATATGAAGCATAAATAATTTACTTGTTGAAAAGTTAGAAATGATGACCTTGAACATGAAAATATGTCTAGCCTAAATTAATATTCATTGAGAGCGTGGTTAGGTATTTTTAAACAACACATAAGTGTCTAAAAATTATGGATAACATTTATCTGAAAATTCAATATTTTTCGTAGGGGTTAACCCACATATTTCAANGTT